AAATCTATTTGCCAAACGATTTAGACAGACAACTCTAGTCTATTATATCCCCCGAATCCCTGCTCTGCTCCGTCATCCGATACCTTTTTCCTTTTTTGATATATATTCTTGTTCGACCTCCAATCCCCCCACCGTCTTCCGCCCGAGCCAACGTCTACGACTGTGCTCAACCTAAGCCAAGTTTACCCCGCCATATATCCCTGCGCCCGCGCGCCTTCAGCTTCACAACTCCGACTTACAACATGCCCGTGCAACTACTTCCGGCTTCGGCTGCCGCCTTCGCTCCTCGAGCTTCGTCCGTCAATGTCGTCCTGGGTTCCAAGGTTGAGCCTTGGCTCACACAAACTCTCAAGCGCATCAACCGAGTAAAGCGTCCTCTCAACAGTGTCCCTCAGCACCAGCGATGCCTCACCGAGACTCTCTCATCACCCAATGCCATCTGGACCCTCACCTCGATCATGCTCCCCAAGACTCCCGAGTCCGACTTTAAGCGTGATGCTGGCAACCCCCTCGTCGAGGCCATCATGAACTACGAGCTCGTCCACCTGGAGGCTTACATCGTGCACGTCGACATGGTTCTGCGCAACGAGGTCGCTTACAAGCTCACCAAGGACACCATCGAGACCCTCGTTGAGTACCACAAGGAGGTCTACTGCGTCGACGCCAAGGCCAACACCTACGACTGGTCAGACAAGGAGCAGCAGTGCAAGAAGCTTCATGAGGACTTTGTCCAGGCCATCAACAAGTTTGTCTTCCGCACCCACGTCTCGGCTCTTGAAGGCCTTGAGGAAGAGGGTGCTGGCGAACTTCTCTGTGGCAAGAGCGAGGAAGTCAAGAACAACATCTTTGCCCTCATGAAGCCTCTGCTGCCTCCCCCTCCCCGCGTCGTTGATGTTGTCCGACAACCTACACTGCTGCCCAGCTCTCCCGCTACCAACATGTGGTCGCAGGCCGGCATGCCCGGCAGCCTCCCCGCTGTTGAGTCGTGGAGAGTCCTTCCTTCAAGCCCCAGTGTAACATCGTCGGCCGACTCCAACACCAGCCCCATCTGGGCGCCCATGACCATGAGCGACCTGTCACCTACTCCCGCATACACCCAGCCTCAGTCCACCGCCGGCTTCTTCTGGAGCTCACCTCAGGTGACAGCACCCATCCCCGCCCTCCCCCTCCCTAGCATGCTTGCTCCTGCACAATGCGGTGTCAGCGTTAGCATGGGAGGTATGGGCGGTATGGGCACCATGAGCGGCATGGGTGGCATGGGCGGCTTCAACTGGGATCGATACCAGGAGTACGCTACCATCATGTGACAACCAGGGCCCCAGGACAGCTATCCAGTGGTGACGACCTCGAGCTAATACAGCACGCACCCGCATCCCCTTCCTCGTTTCCCGGAGAAAAGTTGAAGCTCTCAATTTCGCAGCGGCATAGAACTATCATCCATCATGGGCATACCGGCGTTTTACTGCATCAGGAACGGTGTTTCGAACAAGTCAACAAATATCCCCTCTTCGCGTTGCTTGATCTGATTTCTTTGGTTCTTCTTTTTTATTTTACTATTTCCTTTGTCCTCATAGCAAGCGGTCTTTTTTGGTTTCGGGGAATCTGATCTGGTCTCTATTCCTCTCCGGGAAACACACTCGAACGGTCGTTCACAACAAACAAACAACATCTATCTCAGTTTTCCAACTCTGGGTTTTCTTTCATCTACCACACCACAAATGGCTGGATCCGGGGCGGGTATTTGGAATGCATTTACAACCGGGCAGGGATTCGATACAGGCGGCTTGTTTTCTTTTGGCCTTTTTTCCTTCCGTCATCTATCTTTTGGTTCATTCACAACAAGAAAAAGACGAACACGCAGCAATGCACGACGCTCGGCCAAGTCCGAGACAGAAACTTTTGGATTCTCGATATCCCCGGAACTTTCTTTCTCTTTTTTTTATTCTTTCGGCATAGAGGCTTTCTCGGAAGATACCCCTACCCCCATACAAGGAGCACGACTGGATCGCTCGGTTTCAACCGAAGCACAAACTCACACTCACAACAAACACTCTCGCTTCGACTCTTTCCTTGGCCTTGTTCCCGAATTACGACGACGATAATTTTTTAATGACGACCTTTTCTACGAATCGATGACGAATGACGACTACCTTTTCAGACCTGGTACGACTTACGAACAGAATCACGAACTTTCGGCTTGATGTCGAAACATGACTTCTCTTCGAAAGCCTATCGAACACTGAGCACATACGCTTCATTCGGCACGATGACTAGCCTAACAGATGGCACCTGGACTGGATTTCAGGATGTCTGATCGCAAGGCCGTCTCGACTACACATCATCGCGTAGCCAACACGGAATATCTGGAATATCACCGTCGAGGCATGACACTGGTTGTCAACGGGATCACCGCTGTGCGCCGGCGACCAAGTGTCGACCGGAACGCACCAAATGGAAAGATGGAGTGAACTCATGGGACTCTTCCAATGAGCTGGGCACTGTACTTCTGCCGTGCAGATGCAGTCGCGCAGCCTCTGTCTAGCCGACACGCCCTGGTCACTCATCCTCAAAAACAATAACCCTCGTCCTCTAGGAGTTCCGGTCCCCGGATGTGGATGACCGTAGATGGCCGAGTCGAGGTGAAAACCACAACGCCGCTGAGCCTGCTAGCCGGGCCTTCTGGTGTGTGGAGGACGCCGCTTCGAGGATGGATCTGCGGCTCGGCCACATGCCGGGTGATCGGGACTGCCACGGGGACCTGGGCGAGGATAGACTAGGGCGACTGTAGGATCGTCTCCCTACAGACCCTTCACGTCGGACAGGTCAGAGCAGCTTGGTCTGCTTGGCCTGTCCAGGCGAGCTGGGTTAGGCCGCAAGAGAGTGGAGCTGGTGACTGCAGGGCAGTGCCAAAGCCCACTCCGGACCCTGAGTCCTGCGGCCGAGATGCTGGTATCTAGTGGCGTGCGAGGGAAACAGGATACGCCCTGGCGGCGGTTCCCAAACACAAGGACAAGCCTGCTTTGCTACAAGCGTCCCTGCTCGTTGTCTTGTCGTTGCAGTATTAGTTAATCTGAACAATAAAAAAAAACAGATTCAATGAAGCTTTCTTCCCGTACCTGATTGTGATGTGACATGTTGAATATACTGCAATCCCTAAACCACATAGCCAGGCTGTCACTTGGTGTTGGTCGTTACTCAGCTTAGGTTAGACTACCTGCATGAGATAGTAATGGTGTATTACACACCCTACTGATTGTTGCGTCTCATCTCACTCCACTTGCTGGGTATTTCCGCGTTCATAACTCTTTGACCTGCGTCAAGAAGGGAGTATATACACGGGCAGCTTTACATGACTGACCCTTGGCAGTAAATAAACTCTAGTTAAGATTAAAAATTATGAAAGGACTCCTAACTCGAACTCAATGGATATATTTCAACATGAACTCACAGTGTTTTGCTGGTTAGGAAGACCTGGAATCACCGTCTTCTGGTGCTATGTTGGTAGAGATCTGCCGCTTGCTCCCAGCAACTGCTCCAAGGCCAGTGCCAACCGCGGACAACGTGGTATTACTCCTTTCCTATATATCACCGCGGCTGATAGAAAGATGGCACGGAATACTGGTGATGGAGTTTCCCTGTCGGCTGGTACTTTGTCAAGGACGCTGTAGAAGCTGGTGGCCCCTAAGGCAACATCTACGAAAAGCTTCTCGCCGAGTCTCAGGTTGATATTATCTACAAAGGTCAAAAATGACACACAGAGGGACTGTATTTGACTGTATTCATTCCTCGTGACCAACAGCAATGGACAACTCGCAGTGCTTCATTCCCTACCCCTACTTGTAGTAAGTGGCAGCACATAGGGCAATGAATACTCAACACACGATGGCATACCGCTTGCCAGTGGAGGGGTACCAGGCCAGACTAACAGTTGGAAATAAGAAGACAGTGTAAGTCTGAGTGAGTGCATATAAAATATCCGGGCTCCGTTCCGGCAGTTTTCCCCCGTCGGTCATTCTTCTCCTTTCCTATCCTCTCCGCTCTATGAGAATCTGTCAACATGTTTGCTAATGCCAAGTCTGCTTTTACCTTCCGCTCCAAGTAGAGACTCATACACGCATGATCAAGTTGTTTGACCTCCCAGGCTAGCAACGGGTCTGTTCCATGCGCCCTCTTCAACCCCGAAACCTTCATCTCATCAACTAACCTCGGCTTTACCACCAGCACGGCACCAGTATTAATTGGATGCCTGAGCTGTAGTCGGTCCTCCCTATTAATTCATACTCGGAATGGACTACCATAGTCCCTCCAGGATCCTTCATGAATCAGGTGCTCAGTCATATATGAACTCATCGTCTTAATCACACCACTCAAATTATTCCCTTTATCCAAAGGTTACAATTACTAAATTTCCTCTCATAGATCGTCCCAGGCGGAAACAAACTTTCACATAATGAGAATAGTAGCGATGTATTTAGCATAGAGGAGGAAATATGACAAGCATCTACCTAAATCCACAGTAGACAGTTGAGGTAGAGCCAGCCGCAACCATGTAGCACGCATGATCGAGCTCAGTACACTCCCTAGCCACGGTGATATGCATGTTTTAGGATTACTCACTCGTTGATCCTCTAAACTTTTGGCTCGTGATACTTGAAAGCAAACTCGACTACCGCGATATCACGCTCTTTACCTTGCTGGGTTGTTGCTATCCAAGTCAGAACCAGGAAGCCTCGAGGTCTCCCTGAATGTTGTATATCCAACATCAGGTCATACAGTGCCAGGTTCCTACAAGTGCCGTTACAAGGGTCTCGGCATTTAAACCGGGATATCACTTGCACAGACTAACAGCTCAAACTCTCCATCCTTGCCATTCCACTAGTCGGATTAAAGGTTGCAGCAAGAATCATAGCCGGGACACAACCGGACCCGGATTGTAGCATTAGAAAAGTTGTACTATCATATACCCCCCCCCCCCCCCCCCCCCCCTTCCTCACGCGCCTTTAACCCTTCTCAGGAATCAGCGGGCTCCTTTCCCTGTGACGCCGAGTCATCATCTGCTTTCGTTCTCCTCCTCCGTATACGCTGTCTACCCAGATGCCACTGAACCGTGAGGTGTTGGTGGTTGTTGTTGCAATCATTTCATGTCGTCTGTTGTACAAATGCCAAACCGAGGTGCAAGGAAAAATCGTCATTGGAGGGCTGGGCTTAGTCTTGGTTGACGGTTTGCTAAGATACACATCAGTATAATGTCCCTTGGAAAGCATCAGGGACAAACTCACCACAAGCCAATCCATGCCCTCATTCACACCGCTGCCGTCGACCGCCGAGCACGCCATGATGCTCCAGTTGCGGTCGCGTAGCTCGCCCAGACGCAGCGCCTCCGAGATCTCGCCCGCGCCCTTGGCTCCGGGTTGATCCTGCTTGTTGGCAAACACCAGGAGCGCCGCATCCTTGAGCTCTTCCTCGTTTAGCATGGCCGAGAGCTCTTCTGATGCCGTCTGTAATCGCTCGATATCGGTAGAATCCACCACGAAGATGACGGCCGCCGTGTTGGCGTAGTAGCACCGCCAGTATGGTCGGATGCTTGTTTGACCACCGAGATCCTGCAAGGGTGTCGGTGTTAGTATTTCGAAGTTGTTCAAGGCGGTAACCCGAAGGTATGGCTCATACCCAGACGTTGAAATTAAGATTCTTGTAGGTGACGGATTCGACGTTGAAACCTATGGTGGGTATCGTCGTGACAACCTCGCCAACCTGACAAATCATGGTCAGCATGCACTCAAGCTCGGAGGGAGAACGGGTGTCGAACCTTCAACCGGTAGAGCAGAGTTGTCTTGCCAGCGTTATCCTGCGATGCCGCCTCGTTAGCGTCCACGTTGGTGATGGCGGTAGGACCAACGTCATCGTACCAGACCCAGAATCAATATCCTAATCTCCTTCTTTGCCCACAGCAGGCCCGACAGCCATGATACTGAGTTACCCATGTTGTTTGATGTGAGAAGATGTCTTGTGTTATTCGCTCTGGTCCGTCCGTGGTGGTGATGGATGTCTAGATGGTCACCACTTGAAGCTGTTATCGCTCGCTCGTCCGCCTAGAGTAGCTCGGTCTCGTGGTTTGCTATGCTCAGCACCAAGAGGAAAGGATAGGAAGAAGAACAGAGTCGTCGAGTCGGGGGGATCGACAGGGAAATGATGCGCTCAAGTGACCGTCTTTCTTTCGTCGCGTGCCTCGTGGCAACAAGTTCGAGGGGCGTCTTTACTTAGTAATTGCTCGGGAAGATCCCCTTTTTTTCTGGACCTGACCTCCAATGCGATTCAAAAAAAGGACTTGGACTTGGGGGGCGGCCCGCTTGATGGACAAGTTGCTCTTTTTGGCGGGTTAGGCTGGTCCAAGCGCCCGACAAAATAAACCGCCCGGGCCAGTCTCTTTCACCCCCTGTAATTCAAAAGGCTATGTATGCCTGCTCGCTGCAAGACTGGGGTTATTTTTAACGTTGCATCCTTTTTCTTTGGTGTAATTAGTAGAAGCTCAAATCTACGGTGAGTTTCTGCAACTTGGTAGGTTCATGCGGAGCCAATGTTAAAATGCCGTTAGGCTCAAGTGAGAGACTGGTGTTGGATGGCCTATTATCTAAAGCCACCATGAATCTAGCACCCTCATGATCCAATAGATGCTCTCATGTTTCTTAAAGATGCTCTTCAAGACTCGCACTGCAGCTGAGACAGCTCAACGTTGTGCCTACTCGTTGGTGGCGTTGTTCAGCGAAACCCCCATTGCAGAATCATCCATATACAAGACCGAGACCGAAACCGAGTATCCTTCAGTTAGGGGCTCAAACTCTATGGTCCTCGGTGCCGTCTTGGCCGAGAACGAACAAACATGGCAGGGCTGTAGATTGAATCAGGGTTCCATCATCACGGTCCACAAGAGAGGCCTCTCGCTTACAGTTAAGCCGTTGCCCCAGATCCCTGCCCCATGACGGCTTATTTTGTCAATGCCACTCTGCCCTGCCGAGCTGGCATTTGGCTGACTCAGCGAACCACAGCTTTCTGCCTGAGGCAAAAGCTCGCTACGCCACAGTCCACCAGCCACACCCACAAGATCATTCTCTCCTCGCTAGGGCTTTCACGCCCTCTACCCGTGTGAGCCAAAAATTCCTTGACGTCTCAACTCCTCGCAAATCGATTCACCACCCAACGACCGACTCGATCATCAACGCCGTCAAGATGCCGGTATGGCACCCCCTCCCCTTGCCTCGCTCCTCTGAAGCGCGCCTCTCAATCTGTCGACGATGAGAAATACGCGACAACGGCTTTCCTCTCGTCGACGGATCAAGATGCGATGACGCTCGAGGGTTGCGCTGTGATCTCTTGAATAACTCGATCGCTAACGCATCTTGCCTTTTGCTACAGAGCCACAAGTCTTTCCGTACCAAGCAGAAGCTTGCCAAGGCCCAGAAGCAGAACCGCCCTGTGCCTCAGTGGATTCGCCTCCGAACTGGCAACACCATCCGGTGCGTTTAACAACTCCCCCGACGATTCACGATCTACGACCACGGACCCCTTCCTTCCACTCCTCGCCAAACCTCACACACCCTGGATCAAGATCTCCTCACTAACATTTCTCTACAGCTACAACGCTAAGCGAAGGCACTGGCGCAAGACCCGCATCGGCATCTAAATTGCTCTTGTGCAATTTTGTCGTCCACTTCCGAGCCTGTGCATCGACACCCGACTACTTCTTCTTGGGCATGGCATCACGATGATGTGAAACGGGAAAGGGGAGGGAGAGAACTTTCGTCACGGCGTGAAATGGGGGTTGTTGCGTGCTCAGCGCACGGGGGGATGGGCCGGTTGCCTGGTTTGTCGATTCTTGCGGTTACTGCATGTCACACGGACGGTCATAGGGAAAAAGGAAATGCAAAGACTTTTGATGCCCCAAAAGAACGGGCCTGAACCACACGGAAACATCACCATCCCGTCGTGAACAAGCCTCATATCAAGCTTCGTATGAAGCGTCATGTCCAACTCTACGTCAAACTATGAAGCAACTGTCATGTCAACTATGAGTCCCAAGGCTCGACGCTTCAAGATTCAACTGTGCCCAGGAATGGAATATTTGAACTGTGCTTGAATGAAATACTGCATTGTACCACTAGACTGCCTGCCACGTTTCGTCTCAGAACATGGACCTGAATCGAAACAAAGGATCGAGTGTTTACGCTTTACTTCGTTGGTCGTTTCTGCCCGAAACAAAGGATCACGAGGTTGCTGCTCTCAACGTTTTCTTCTTTAGAAGGACAATCACCATGCACACACTTTAAAGTTGGGAGTTCGCATCTATTTTTAAATGCTACAGGTAGTCGTTACCCCGGAGAACGCCTCCAGCGCTCTGCCGCAAGTCAAAGAGCAAACTAGTTAACCGAAATATTGCGTCGTGTGAGTGTTGAGAAGAGCCTGCCTAGTGCAGCTATGCTGCTCCGGTACAGGTTTCTTCATGCTCCTTGCGTGCCAACCGTGGCCAAATCAACGCGCAATAAACCCAAACGCCAATTGCCTGAACCTCTCTGGAACTCATCCGGTCAATTTCAACGGTCCTCAGCCCACTCGTTCTCGCGGCGGATCTGCTCCTCCTCTTCGGGGGTGAAGTCGTTGGTGATGTTGAATGTCTTTCGGATCTCCTCAGGGGACTTGCCCTTGATCATGTTGGCGACGGTCTTGCAGCCAACATCAAGAAGGGGCTTGATGTCGAGGTAGTTAGAGGCCTGTAATATCAAATGTTAGTAAGTGCTTTGATAGTTAATGATGGGAGGCGCAACATACGAGGATGATCTCAAAGAGCATCTCCTGGTCAACCTGCATGAACTTCTGGTCCCACTCCTCAATATCAGTGGTCTTCTTGCGGGCGTCCGACTCGTCATCGGCAGCTTGGGGAGGGTCGCCACGGTGGTGGTCGCACCACTCGATCACCTTGCGGAGGACGGCTTCGTTGACCTGGAGGACATGTCAGCAATCAAATGCAAACATATAGGAAGGGAGATGGGCTCACGTTGGGAATGGGGATGGGGTTATCCGCGCTGATGTCGACATCACCAAGATCGTCGAGCATGTTCTTCAGCAGCATTGAGCGCTCAACGACGGTGCGATCTATGGGTGTTGTTAGCATCATGACGAACGAGAATGCACAGAGTGGCGCAAGCTTACCGACTTCGATTTTGGCGTTGTCGTTGGAGACAAGCCAGACCTTCGAGGAGGGGGCGTCAGACATTGTGGTGGTTGATGATATGATGATTCCTGTAAAATCTGTAGATGTGAGCGCGACGGACTTGGCGACTATGAGGGAGGCGAAAGATTGTCACGGCGTGCGGTGTGATGATGATGGAAGTTGGAGGAAGTAGAGCAGCAGGCCAGAGTCTGCGGGGTCGGCTGAGCGTGGGGCTGCGTGTCTGTCAACCAACGACGTACCTTGGGCCACAGGGCTGTGATTCAGAGGAGGACCCTGACTAATAAAGACGCGGGAAGTGTAAAGTTATCGAGATTTGATTTTCTGCGAAGTCGCGTTTGAGGGTGAATTGATTGAGCTTTATCGATGATGTTTCTCAAATAAGCTGTGTGATGAGGAGAGAGGGAAAAAATGTTGGCCTTGTCGCGGAAAGACGAGAGCATTATATGCTGGTCGTTGACCATGCAGTGGAGTTGGTTGGCCACTGCTGCCTTCGGCGCAAGTCAAAGGAGTCAGGCGGCAGCCTGCGTGAGAGAAGGTATTTTGGAACACGGAGCTAAATAACCCCATCCTGTTCAGGAACCTTGCAGCTGACAAGGTTAAAGAAATGCATCGGGAAGATGTTTGTTCTGTTCATGTTTGTCCAACACTCACAGTCTTTGTTGGTGAAAGAGTCGATACGACGATAAAGACAATGTACCAGGTACCAAGTCTTGTGCATACCGGCCCGGAATGCTCTTTGTTTTCATTCTATTTCGGCTGGCTGACCGTCAATGCAGAGGCAGGTAAGTCGCCAAGGAGCTTCAGCCGAAGGATCCGATTCCATCAAGTCCCGAATATTCGCCTATGTTGTGCTCCTTCTGAGCCACGGTGGTTTGTTAAGGTGAGACGGATGAGGTACAGCCACAGAACCATGTGAGATCCCGTCTAGGCCCGTACTCATAAGCACGGCTAGCCACCTCGACAAGGGAAAGCATAGCAGGGTGTTCATTGCGAGAACTTCAAGGGATGCACAAAAAAAAAAAAATCATAAAAAGAGAGGAAAACCAATTATATTTGCTCAGTTCTATTACTTGCCTAGGTAGGTAAGTGTTGTCAACCTTGGTGTCCACGTGGGCAAAGAAATAAATGAGACGCCAGAGTAGGTATAAAGAGAATTACCTTATGCCTTCCTTATGAATAAAATTTATAAAAATTAGTATAAAATAATATAATAATTAGGGGATTTTATATATATATTTTATTATTATTTATTGATTATATTTAGAGTAGGATTAAGTATTGTATTTATCCTCGTGTCTCGTTTTTTCCTTGACCCAGGTGGTGTCTTCTCAATCTCTGCCTGCCAGGTTAGTCATCATCCTGGGGAAACCATGTGACTCTCCCGTGATCAAGCTGTCACTGGCAACCTAGCTCCTCAAGTTGGTGCTTTTTGATTCAGACCAAAAGGCGGAGAAAACAATAGTCGGTTTCCTAGGCATACTAGGTAAGTAAGCCTAAGGTTGTAGTGGACGCTTTGGAACCTAACCTATGCATAGCGAACGGACTGACTAGCTTCGTGGCGTCACATATTCTCAGTGCCGACCGACCTAGACAACCAACTCTGCCAAGTTCGACGTCGTCTGCAACTATCAAGTCGATCATGATCTGGTCTAGCAAAACGCTCACCTTCGGTAACTGACCGAGGACACCTTCTCGCGTGCCCGCATACCTTTAAAGTTGCGACTACCGTGACCACGACATGGCACAGACTTTGTCTGAAAGAGAACCCGACCTCATATCAAGCCATCGGGTATCATCAATGCCACTTGCCGAAGCATGCGACAATAACGAGATATGAGTATCGGCCCTTTCAACCCAAGGCAAAACAAGTGAGGAAATGCCGGTGGAGAGACTCGTCGTGGGAATTTGGTGAGATCAAAGGGAGCCCTGCAAAGGTCCATGCGCTGGTGACTGCAAGACATCGTCATTACCATGGCAGAGATGATGCTGGTCGTCCATCGTACTCGGTCTCCATCCCTTGTCGATTCTGTCACCGTGGCGTTTGATCAATTCAGGCTGATTTTGTTGGGGAAGACAGTCAGTGCTTTACATGCTGCGCTGTGCGTGCTGTGCTGTGCTCTCGAGCGGTTAACCCTGCAGCCCTCGCGATGGACAGACCATGAGTTGGTCCACCCCCATCTAGAGGGAAGCGGGAATGCCCTTGCGAGATCCAGTTGATCAGTGCCTAGATGGCTGGCCTGCCTCGTCTTCGCTCCGAGAGACGCAACCATGGTCAGATAATGGCCCCGCGCGCCCCCGTCCATCAAACAAGACTCAGCCTCTACTGCTCGGCCGAGTCCCACAGAGGGAAGGACAGACATGGTGCCTCGAGATCATGATGGCCAGGGCCATATCATGCAACAAAGGCGGTGATGGCGTCCCAAAGGGCAATTCAAAACGTCGCGGCATGCATGCCATGGCAGCAGTCCCCAGAGCAAGGAGCGGCAGCGACCCAGCCCACCACCATGCCAATCAAGGTGCCCCTCGATCTCACCATGCTTAAACTCCCGTCCAAAAAGCACCGGGTGCCTTGCCACACACGAGCGTTCCAGCGCTACGGGTAGGGCAAATTGACATGGCCGACCGCCTTTGCGCTGGGGGGACCGTTGAAGCGGTGGATGCGTGCCATGCAGCAGAATCGTGTGACATGCTGGCACCCCGGGGCAGGACGGGAGCTGGGCGATGCGCGGGGCGGCAGAAAAGGAGACTGGACGGGCCCAACACGTGTTTGCAGGGCGGTGATGAATGGGAAAACAGGCCATGGGCATGGCCTTGTCAATGGGCGTTGTGAAATGGCTTGTAATTGCACACAAGATTACCACCGCCCTGGGAATTGCCCAGTTGGATCTCATCCTTGTCGTCTGCCATCTGGCGTATCAGAGGACGAGGGAGACTCTGAGATCTCGGTTCCAAAGGGCTTAGCGTCATGGATTGGCTTCTTCTGGCAGGGCTCCATCCGAGCTCCATGCCACAGAGCCTCTGCTTGGCTGGGTTGGCTTGCGGGTTGCCGTGGAGTTTGTTTTTGTTCTAGAGATTCTGTCTCTGATTCTCGACAAGCCGGGCTCAACCGTTTCAGCCTCCCCAAGCCGACGGCTTCCCACCTAGCTTGACTACCTCCGTAGGTCGTAATTCCTGGAGATTCAGGAGGCTTGAGAGGCTGCCATTGCACTCGCCCAGAGTCCCCCCCGGAAGTCGCCTCCCCCTGTCCCGCAGCCCCTAAGAAAGCTTCTAGCGGACGCTGTGGGCCACTTCCAGCGGCCATCCCTTCCGTTAGTTCCGCCCATCCCGGGTGACGGTGCCCTCTCCAACTGGCCGTGTTTAGAGCTGGCGCCCGCCCTGGCTCCCCCTAGCCCCCTTGTGCGTCACCCTCCCACTCTTATCCTTGGGCTTGGGACTGGCCGATACGTACCTACTGACATTTGCATTTGCTTGCACATGGACGGCACCCGGTAGTGGTGGTGTGTGAGCGAGCCCCCATATGGAAACCACCCCAACAGAGAACCGCTTGTGACGGGGTTAGACCTATACCTACCACCTATACCTACAAACATCACCCTCCCGCCGCTTCCTTTTGTTTCTCTATTTTGTTCGTCTCCTTGTCCATGTTCTTGTCTGTTTCCTCGAGCTTGCCTTGAACCATATTCATCCCTATAGTACCTAGTTAATCATTGATTGGGCTTCTTTCACTTCCCCTCACCTTTGCCCACCTCCACGACCGATACCGACACCGACACCGAGACGCTGCCCGCCACGCACATACACCTAACCGAGCCCGCACGAACTGTACCTATTCTATGTCTTGGGCATTCTTCGATACGATACGATAATTTTGGTTTTGCATTCGAGTACTCCTCGATCGTTGGCAATTTCTCTCTTCCATTAGATTGTCACTGCCCACCATTGCGACGACTGCTGCGTCATCTCGAATCGGCTGCTGTGTACTTTGCGACTCTCGGCCGTCGTATTCGTCCTCGCTTTCGCAGATGCTCGATGCCTTTGCGCCTCGCGACTAAGCACATGCTTGCTCTGCCCGCTCCTCACTGCTAAGAACTATGTGGCGGCGGACATATCTCACTCTGGTTCTCATCCGGCTGTGGTTTGCATTGTCACCCAGCTATCTACACCCCGACGAGAACTTTCAAGGCCCCGAGGTCATAGCCGGTATGTTTCCCGCTTCTGCCTTCCTGCGCTTCCTTGCCGTCGCGTTGCACAAGCCAGATTTGTTGCTCTTGTCAGCTTTGATATCCAGCCGAATGTGCTCGCCAACTGCGTCCCGCTTCTGCAAGTAAGAGAGCCACAAGCTGACCGTTACGCTCCCATCAATAGGACAGATCTTTAGTTACCCTGTGCGCCATACCTGGGAATTTACGAGCGAGAACCCGATTCGAAGCGTCTTTCCACTATGGCCAGTCTACGGTCTCCCGATGCTCCTCCTGCGGTGGCTATGGATCGGTAATGGACAGGACGGCGAGATACCCCCGATTGCCGTTTTCTGGACCCTGCGCGTCCTCATGTTCTTGATTAGCTTCGTGCTCGAGGACTGGGCGCTACACGAATTGATCCAGTCGCCGAGGCATCGCAGGGTCGCAGTTCTCTTGGTTGCCTCGTCCTACGTGACGTGGACCTACCAGACGCACACGTTTTCCAACTCTATTGAAACATTGGTAGTCGCGTGGAGTCTGGTCTTGATCCAGCGACTCGCTGATCCACGGGTTCGTCTTTTTTTCCCACGTCGCCGCTAAATGGACAAATCAGCTGACAAGATATCAATGTGCAGCAACGGTCATGCGTCCTATCCGCCACTGTTCTCGGAATAGTTGGTGTGTTTGGCGTCTTCAACCGAATTACCTTTCCAGCCTTCCTTGTTATTCCCGGGTTTCGCCTGATTCCCGTCTTCTGGAAGAGGTCAGATAACCCACCTGCGCTTGGCGCGGGAGAGCCCGAGCTAACAATCTTCACAGGCCTGGATCTCTTGTGTGCTTGATTTTGGCTGCGGCCGTGACGACAGTGATTGCCATCGGGTTGGATACTGCATTCTATCTGCCTAGTCCTATCACATGGACCGACTTGATCAACAAGCCCGTAATCACACCCCTCAACAACTTCAAATACAACTCGGCCACTGAGAATTTGGCCCAGCATGGCCTTCACCCGTGGTACCAGCATCTGGTCGCAAACCTGCCTTTGCTGCTGGGTCCAGCTGCGGCACTTTTGATCTTCAAGCCTGCCTTTTCCCTTCGGCTCTACTCGGCTATTTCTGGACTAGTTGTTCTTTCGGCTTTCCAGCATCAAGAGGCGAGATTCTTATTGCCGACGGTGCCGCTGTTCCTATCATCGATCCACCTGCCCCGGAACCAGACGGTGTTTCGGCTATGGATGTCGGCATGGATCATTTTTAACCTGTTCCTTGGAGTGATGATGGGTATCTATCACCAAGGTGGGGTGGTGCCGGGGCAGGTCTTTTTGAGCCAGCAACCAGATGCAACCCAGGCGATCTGGTGGAAGACTTATACCCCACCAGTCTGGCTTCTTAACGGGAAGAACGAGGTCCTGACGACGCGAGACGTCATGGGCCTCAAGGGTGACTTGCTTCTCGAGCAACTATACCAGCTCGCGACCTGTGACACCCCGGCCGACAGACGGAACCAGGAGTATCTGAAGGAGAAGAACGGCACGTACCTGATGGCCCCGGCCTCAGCGACGTGGTTAGACTCGTACCTCCCCAACAAGGGTCTGGAGGGGCTACGATTTAGGGAGGTTTGGCGTTACCGGCAGCACTTGAACCTGGATGATTTGGACTTTGAGGACGACGGCGTTTGGGGCACTCTGGTCAGAGTGATTGGGCGGCGGGGTCTTGTCGCCTGGAGGGTGACGAAAAGTTGCCCGAACTGATGAAAGAAAGGGGTGGCGTATATCTCTTTTCCAGCTTTATGACTCTAGTTAGACACTGTTAATGACCATGTAAAACTACTTTAGTTCTTGGGGTGGCCCATGAACCCATTTGCCTGCTGCTTGCTTTTTCTCATCATGATGGTCAGGCTGATTTACCAGCTGAAATTATCATCAAGGCTTCATTTCCCCCACCAGCCAGCCTCATGCCCAGGACCCCTTGCTCTCCCCGCAATTAATGACCCGAAGACTCATCAGCCACCAGGAGAATCGAGTCACTGGCGTCATCCGGCGAGCCTTGTGGGGGTCATGGAAACTAGGCAATTTCCAAATGTCTTCGATGGTCTTCGAAACACTTGCGGGGCTCGCGATGCATAATTCACAAGGTGTTGATGCATTGAAGACTAGGGTCTTGAATAACATTAACAACAAGATCAAGACACATGGGTGCTTTCGCTCCTAGCATTACACCGAGATAGTCACACCACATGGACAGCGTTGTTGAGAGGAAGCATCATCACGTTACATCACAATGAGAGAGCATGAATTGTCCAAAAGTCTTCAATTTTTCCGCCATCCTAGTCTAAGCTGCATTGTCCACGTCTCAGCGGACAAGATTGTTAGGCCATCTCAGGCAGAGACCAAATGAAGTACACTTAGTACAGGCGCTTGGGAGGAGACATGGTAGCCTTGATGGTAAGGCTACCAACGTTCTGCCAGCCCTTCTTCAGGAGAGAGACGAGGTAGTTGATGGCGAGCATGATGTTGCCAATGAGCTGCTCCTGGGTCATCTCGACGTTGCCGACGGCGACACCCATGCACAGAACCTTCTTGAGCTGGAACTTGATGGTGGACTTGACCTCGTTGATCTTGCCGGTGAGGTCGTCGGAGTGGGAGACGGGGGTGGGGAACTTGCCGGCCTTGGACAGACCGGGGCCGAGGAGACGAGGAATCATCTTGATGAGGGCCTCGGAAGCGACAAAGGCGTCGTACTTGCGGGCGAGCTTCTTGATGAGCTTCTTGTTCTTGTTCAGCTTCTTCAAGTCATCAGCGGACATGGCATCGACACCACCGTGCTTGGCACGGTCGATATCGTGCTGGTCACCAAGAATGCTGGAGCTAGTTAGCGCTCGTGTCTCTCTGCTCGGGTATCTCGAGTCTCGTACCAGACAGCCATGTTGGGGCGGGGGATGGAAGGCAGCTTGATAGTGCCAGAGAAACGCTTGTCACGCTGGGGATCATAGTTCTTCAGGCCGATCTGGAGCTCGACGGTCTCGAGGAAGTTGCGCTTCTTGGTCTCGTTGGAGTACTCCAAGAGCTCGGCGACTTGCGTCCGGACATTAGCTGCGTGGTGGTTAGCACATTTGTCGACGAGTAGCTGAGGATGGCGCCAGAGGTTTCCGTACCGACTGTGATCTTCGACATTTTGACAGTCTCCCAATAGATGGTCTTTTACAATCTAATGGTGGTCAGGGCGAGTCGTGGTTGAGGGGATCTAGGAAATCTTTCGGGGCGGGTGAGATTTTGAGAAATCGAAAAATGCTGCTTGTGGGACTTTGGTGGGGTCTTGAAGGGCAAAATTTCCTCACGGGATCAGGCACGTGATGTGGGTCCCATCGTTCTTGGCCGCATGAGTCGCAAAAGCCTATCGGCGAAGGAGTCAACTTTTACGGCGACGGCTTCAGGTTGAATTTTGGGGCATTGAGCTGGTTATCTTTGAGTGAGTCACCTCTGTCTTGAAACGAGAAGCAGAGTTCACGAGACTCGCGTCATTTCTCCGTCGCAGAATTCATTCGCCAGGATGAAGGATACGGCGCAGCAAGTTGACGACTTAATCGCCAACTCCAACCATATCTCAAAATGGGTCGAGGAGCAGCCAAGTGAGAGCCAGGCAAGGTGCGCAATTCTTCTGACTCTCTTTTTTTTTTATGTATGTATCCTAAAAAAGACATTTTTCTGTAGTTGGGCCCAGTCAATCTTTGCGAGGCTTCTCGAGGGTGCTTCACAGCCCAGGGGTGCTTCAGGCAACTCTTGCGTAAAACTCTGCGGCTTCGTGGAGCAGGCTTCAAAGTCGGGGTCCCAGGATCTCCGGCTCTGGGCCTTTTCCAGGGATATCACCATCAGGCTGTTTGATTTCTATGTCGAGTGGAATGAGTCGGACAACCACCGTTCGATGAAGCTCGTTCTCGATCTGATTCCCCAGCTCATCAGGAGAAACCCAGACGAGGAAGCAGGTCAAGCGACAAAGTCTGCTATTCTTGACAATCTCGTGTCGATTGTGACAGGCAAGTCGACAAAGCCTCTCGCCAAGTCTGCCATCAAAGCCCTGGACCACCTCGTAACCAAGGATATTGTCACCCTGGAAGAGATTCGAACCAGCTATGTCACCCTCCAGAAGAAGGACCCCTCCGTTAAGGCGCTTGAAATATGGAAACCGTTCATCTTCGAGTTGTTCCACTGGATGACACTTCACTTTGTGTGTCCAACAGCTGGGAGATTCATCGTCTGCATTTACCGCGGCTTGAGACAACGAGACGGCGAGACGCCAGTCGAGTTGACCGTCGAGATCTGGCACAAGTGGCTTCTGGAGGCTGTGAACGAGGAGCCTTCGATCCTAGAGTCTATCAAGAATTACATCTTCCTACCCCTGTTCAAGGCTGACAAGGCCGAGGCCTTGGAGTTCCTGAAGAGAATGAACGAGCACGAGGCAGTTTCTGCAGGTGCCGAGATAGACCTGAATCTCCCTGCAATTCTTCAGTTAGCGGCCTTGGAGATCGGAAAGAAGGTCGGCTTAGTGGAGGAACCTGGTAAGTTTGAATACCCCTTATATTGATACTTGCTAACAGTAGCAGCATTGGGCGAAGACAAGACGACTGATGGCGAGTCATCAATCGTACTCGATGAAAAGGTGCTAGAGAGTGTGCTGGCCCATCCTTCACATGAAGTTCGATCTCTTGCCCTTTCTCTACTCATCAGTTCTCCGTCGACAACAAGGCCATATTCATCCACCGCCTTGGACTTGCTGCGCAAGCACTTGGCAACTTACTTCGCAGACTCAGATGCAAAGTTCCGAAACGAGGTGGCTGGAAAGGTGCGAGATATGTTCAAGAGAGTACGAGGTGCCATCTTTGTGCTCAAGAAGAGCATACCAAGAGCAGCCGCTCGGGACCAAAAGGGGCAGCCTGGACAGACAGAGATGTCAAAGCCCATTCTCTACCGAACCAACCTAATCTCACTACCGGAAGCCCAGCTTGTTGATTGCTTGGACTATCATCAAAAGTTCCTGTTCTGGTACATCGGCTTCTTGTGCAGCGAGTTGACGCCGACGGCCTCTTATCAACGACATGCTGCTTCACTAAAGGCGGTGACATTTATCCTCCGAATGGAGGGTGAAAAATCAAAGACATGGGAAACTGTAGATGATCAGGAGCTTTTCTTTGATCTGTTCAACGGTCGTTGGCTTCGTGCCTTGTCTGATCTGGTCATGGACCCCTTTGACGACATTCGATCTCACTCGGCCACAGTGCTCAAGAGAATATTCTCTGATGAGCGGTACAGAAACTTTCACCTTATGGCAACGGGGGGTAAAGTCAATCCTGCTGAAGAGCTTGCAGAGCTTCTCAAGAGGTCTGATGAGCTTGCACGCCGGACGGCGAGAGCAGATCACTCAGATGGTGTTGCCAGGGTTTGTCAATTGCTTTACCGGTTCTCCCAGGACGAGCAACAGCGACTTGATCTTCTTTCGAAGCTTGTTGGCGGTGTTCAGGAGAAGCTGACAGTGGCGGAGAAGGACCTTGGCCGGGCTGTTCTGGATGCTCCTCTCCACGGTGACTTTGCTTCTCTCTGCTACACGTGGCAGGTAGTCTCTGAGCTTCAATTTTCTGAGACCGAGCTACAGGCTGTGCAAGGTCTGCAGGATTCGCTCGTGACTTGCTGCGAGCGAGTCTGGGCTGCGGTCCGGGACATTCTCTGCGATGACTCCCCAGAGGGCCATCTCCCCCAGGAACTCGAGGAAGTAGATGGACTTGACACGAAGGACGTCCTGAGCTACAGTTTCCGATCAGTTCATGAATCAAGGTATGTTATTAAGCTTTCGCGTCTCAGTTATTCAGGCTAACACAGAGGCAGCAACCTTTTGCGAACCCTGATCCTCCCTATCAAACAACGATCCCGTCAGGGCAAGATCTTTCCATCGAGGGAGGTCTACGAAAGGATAGGAAATCTGACATTTACCCAACTGGCTAGCCTTAGACACCGTGGTGCTTTTGCTACTGTTGCCTTGACCTTCTCAACCTGCTGCCAACAGGTCAAGCATCTTGATCAGGGAGAGGCCGGCGCCGAAGGCCCAGATCTGCTAGAAACATGGTACAATGTAAGTCAACACTCCGTTTCAGTCTTTCGCACCCACCGCTTCGTTTGATGAACGCGATTCTGTTCAGGGGCTAACCCCTATTTAGGGCACTTTGGATGCCATCTACGCTCAGGTATCAACAACTCGACGGTCCGCCGGAATCCCATCCATGATGACGGGCGTGCTCTCCGCCAACGCGGTCAGTCCTTCGTTTGATCAGGTCATGGCCAAGTTGATGGAGATTGCCAGCCAGGAGGCACGCGCCGCCGAGACGGACGGCTCCAATCTGCCCCAGGTGCACGCTTACAACTGTCTGAAGGAGATCTTCAAGAGCTCGTATCTTACAGCCCTTGGAAACAAGTCCGAGAAGTTCTTGACACAGTGTCTCGAGCTGGCGGCGAATGGACTCAAGTCAGAGCTCTGGGCGATCCGCAACTGTGGCCTCATCCTCCTCCGCAGTCTCATCGACTGTCTGTTTGGATCCCATCAGAGCAAGGCTATTATGGAGGCTGGCTGGGACGGTAAAGCCAACCGCATCTCATATCATCGCTACCCCTCGCTGCCAAAGGTTCTCCTGAACCTCCTCAAGTCAGGCCATCAGATGATGGCGGTCACAGCTACAAGCTCAGCAGCAGCCGAGTCTGTCTTCCCAGCACTCGATATCATCCGGAGAGCTGGACCCCCTGAGCTTCTCCGCGAAGAACTTCAGGTGCACATCGCCAAGTATCTAGCCAGCCCAGTCTGGCATGTACGGGAGATTGCAGCCCGAACTCTTTGCTCGTGTCTCTTGCACGATCTCTGGCTGGACACTATCATCAGTCTGGCGGCAGAGTCTGTTCGTTCACCGATTGGCAACGTTCAGAACCATGTTCATGGCGTTCTTCTATCTTTGAAGTACATTATTGACAGGCTTAGTGAGGTCATGCCAGAGCAGTTGCAGCGTAAGATCTACATTTTTGACGAACGAGACCAACTGCTTACACATTCTACAGACGATACCCCAAAGCTTTCAGGCTTCCTCATAGAATACTGGCGTGAGATCCAGTCCCTCGACTCCCCAGAAATTGCCGCAGCCTATCTCGAGGTTGTAAACCTCGTACGGGTCCTCCCCAGACCAAAGGGCGTCGCTCCCCTCGGATTCGAGTTTCCAGAGGATAACGCCCGGGAGAGCGCTCTTCTCAGGGGTCAGCGTGTCATCCACGAAGTGCACTCTATCTCCGAGTCCAACGATCCGGTTGACAACCTCAACGTTCTCTTGCTGAGCAAGACTCTGGGCGTCAACACCATAGTCGCTGGCCTCGAGACAATCCCCAAGCTATGGCGTGCCTCGAAGCTATCAGAGAGTCAAGTGAACGAGCTCTGCAACCTGTACCGAGACGTTTGTCTCAAGATCGGTCCCGCAGAGCCTAGAGTCATTGCCCTGCAGAATCTGACAGAAATCTTGGATCAGCTACTCAAGATGAAGAACGTCGGAGCCGTTTCGCCGACTCTGCTCTCCCAGATCTGGGATAGCTTGCCATTGAGCTTATTGAACCCAGCCCTCGCAAACGCCGTGATAAGAGCCAGCGGCTGCATCTCGGCCATTCTGAGAAAGTCACAAGCTATATCCGCGGCTGGTCTCCAGAACTGGGGACATATGATGGCCGATGTTGGCCTGGATGACAAGGTTTGTAAGAGTCACTCTCCGTCATTTCAACTGCTGACACTTTAAACAAGGACTTTGATACTCGTCTGGCCGCTGCAGAGTCTCTTTGCTCATTCTTCGTCGGTATTGAGGATGAGCAAGACTGGGCACGCGAGGAGCATCTCCCGGCACTACTCGCTTTGTACGACTCACTCAACGATGACGATGACGATGTCCGAGACGTTGGCTCTGCTGCCGTAAAGAGTATCCTCGGCCAAGCCCTCGTCCCTGTCGAAGCCGCCAATCGTCTCCTCTCATGGCTTTCGGAACGTTTCGGCCATGACTCAACTTTCCGACAAGTTGTTGTCCGTAGAATCATGGGCGACGCCCGATTCCCGACCCCTGAGAGTCACACGGCGTCTGTGAGCGACCAGCTGCAGAACGCCATGAAGTTTGATGACTCGCTCTTCGTCATCGAGGAGCAGAACCTTTTCGTCGACGAAGTCAGGGAGACACAACGTTGGGTCTCTGTCTACGAGAGCTTGAATTGGGAAGCCAAGGATCCCGCTCTTGAAGCGTTGACCGCATGGTCAAATGCTGGCGTCGACGAGCTGCGTCGTCTTGTAGGCGAGGAGGACGGTCCTCTCGGATACAGTTCCAAGCCAGAAGTCTTTGCAATCCTCTCCCGCGTCGTCTACGCTTCAGCCGCCCTAGTGAAGGAGAGGCGTCACCCCGACGGTAGACTGCTCGAGGGCGTCGACAAGTTTGGCAGCGCTCTACGAGAAGGACATGGGCACATGTCGGGTCTTTTACTACAGCCTCTGGAAAAGACTATAGACATTTGACGCAATAGAAACAGTAAAAAGAACAAGAAAGAAAAATAAACAAGTCGTGAATTCATGTTATCTTGCTTCACAATGATCCCGCCTATCCACAACGCCTCGCAGTAAACCAATCTGGCCGTTACGCTATAGTGTACATTCAAGTGTTGCCTCATCCTTCTCCGATTCCTTCTAGGGTGTCTCGATGCCCGTTCCAGCTCTCTTGAGACTCTTGAGTGACGCCGTAGAGTCGGACCTGTCCACCAGCCCCATCTTACCCAGCTTGCGGACCAGCATTGTATTCTGAGCTTGGAGTTCGCCAACCTGACTCTCAAGGAGATCAATCTGACGACGTGCAAGATCTCGCTCAGCACGAACTCGCTCCAGCTCGAGGGAGAGATTGTTCTTCTCCTCCCGCTCCAGAGCCTTGCGTCGGCGTTCCTCAGCTTTGCGTTGCTCCGCCTCACGCTTCTCCTCGAGCTTCTTGATCTCGCGACGATACTTTTCCTCTTGCTTGGCTACCTCCTTGTCGTGCTTCTCCCGCATCTTGGCCAGCGTGGCAGCGTCCTTCTCTTTCTCGCCTTGCAGCTTGCTCTGCCGGCGCTCGTGGAGACGGGCAACCTTCTCGTCTAGCTTCTTTCTTCGCTGCTCAAGCTTCTTAAGCTCCTTGTCGCCCTGTGTCTGTGCTTGGTTCGAACGGGATGTCTCGGATTGCGACTCGGTGATACTGTCTGGGGATTTGTTCTCTGCAGTTACGCTCCTCTCCAAGGCGGATGCAAAGCTTCGAATGGACGAAGTGTCACTTTCATCGTCGTGATGTTCTTTCTCGATTTGCTGAGCTTCATAGGTGCTCTCATCGGTAGAGGCCATGTCCGATCCGGTTCCCCATGTCTTCAGTAGTCCAGTAGGGAGATATGAGCTCGCGGCGCCGATAGCACCAGCTAACATGCCGTAGAGTCCGTTACTACTCGGCATCATTTCATCTTGGCTCGGGTGCTCATCAACAGGGTCAACATTAGCCGTAGGAATGTTCGGAATATTTGCTGACTTTTCCTTATCCAACACAGGCAGCTCAGTCTCTTGTGGTTCGACGACCGCGTTGGGATCTGGAAAGCCTTGCATCGCCTTGGACGTCACCCATTTGAGGAACTTGCCAGCATCACCAACGATGCCAGGCGGCGTTCCCTTCTCGATGAGGAAACGTGGTACGCTGCCACCGGGATCGCTTCGGGTCACCATGAGCCACTCGATAGCTGTAGGGAAGTCGTCGGTGGGCGCTGAACCATGGCCTTCGCTATTTGGACTCGGCCTCCTGGGCTCGTCCCGGGTCAATAGGTCTGCTGACGACAAAGATCTCCTGGAAGCATAGTTGTCAATGGGGACCTCGCGGATAACTTCAACCGATTCGTAGTAGCCACGGATAATGCCCTGGCGGGGAGGTGATTCTGGATGATGGCAAGGCTTGGATACAATCATAAACTGCCTCAACGGACGAGAACCATCAGCGAGCTTAACGGAGGTCTCGGATGTTAAGAGCAGAGTAACAAAGTCTCGCGGAGCAGTCGGACCCGGAAACTGGGCGGAAAGTTGAAAGACTGTTGGTAGTATAAGTCAGCATCACGTTGTCCGAGTGGGTATATCACGACTTACCCTGCAGTCTACTAGCATCATCGATGTCCTTGTCCTCGACACGTTTATCGGCCCCGATACCACGGATGTTGCCACTTCCTGGTGATCCCTGTATCTTCATCGTCTCGGCAAACTCAACAGAAAGGCCTGTCTTCCAGTCGTCGAACGACAGGCCCTCGTGAACGCTTCGTCGCGCAAACCAGGCCCCGCGCCCATCTTTAGAAGCCAGCTTGTAGACATTAATACCAAGAGGATTCTCCTTGGCATTAACTTTCACTTCTTTCCACTCCTTTCGCAGGTCCTGAGCCTGGGTGATGGCCGAAGCCTTCTGTCTTTGCGATAGTGCTCGTTGGATATCGGGGCCCGAGGCGGCCGATTCGGTCTTTGAGCGAGCCCGCCCTCCGCCACTTGGGGCAGCTCTCGTAGCCGGAGCTGGGATCGATTCGATAACGGTCTGTGTTTCGGAAAATATGTCGGCGAGGAAATCTTTGAGGTCATCTTGGGGCACCTGATCCCAGTCGACAGGACCCATGGCCGCGAGCGGTTCGTGATGGCTCGCCATGGTTTTGATAGTGGTGCGTTGTTGGTATGTAGGAGGTTTCGGTACGGGCTCGCTTGCAAGGAATAAAAGAAAAAGAGAAGCACAAAGAAACAAGCAAGGAAAATCGTTGTTCGTGAAAAGTCGATACGTCACTGACAGTCCAGGGAAGAGAAGATGTGTTACTGTATAGGCCAAGAAGAGGAGAAGAGGATGACCAAGCCAGAAGAAGAAGCAGGATTAAAGGTCTTTGGAGGTGATGAGACATGATCGGCAGCCGTGGAAGCCGGAGGGGCGTCTTCACTGACGTCAGCCAACTAGGACACTTACCTACCGCTAACCTAATCCACTTGAAAACCCGTAGGGCGAGCTCGCTCTTTGGTCGTTCTCGCTCTTTCCTAGCGCCCTAATTAGCGCCCGAGACGCGAGTGGGGGGGGGGGCATGGGCCTCGCTCTCCGGGTCGGTCAGGGCGCCCCACGCCGGAATACGCGGACCTACAAATACAAATACCAATACGAAAACTGCTCCGTATCCGCCGGGACCGGTCTTCTGGAAACCTCCTCTGACAAATACGGACTTGCAGCGTATAGTATAAATAGACAACACTCGGACAACCCCTATTCGCATTCGGACCTCCCCTGTTTCATAAGCTTGGATTAATACAATTGATTGATTGATTGCTTGCACAAATAAAATCCGCCGGCCAAGGACGGGCTGGTATTCCCCTTTCACTGCTCGCTTCTTGTACACCTCTGATCCAACATGCCTTCAATATGCTAAAGCTTTACTCCTCCCGATTACTCCTGAAACGACTCCGATCCATGCTACGATGTTGACAACCTCCGCTCCCGCATCACAACCTGGTAATCTTTCCTACAGCTCCCGCAATAGCTGTCGCGCCATTGCTCAAGTGCTTGTCTTCGCTTCGCCGTTGTCTGCTCCATCACCTTTTGTGATTCTGATCCCTTCTTCTGCTTCTTGCTGCGATCATCCGTCTGGAGCATAATGTCCAGCTCATCGCACAGCGACTTTTCATCCACCAGCCAGTTCTCCCACTCCGACTGGAGCATCTCCCGCTCAATGCTGTTGACAACTCGCATCGCCACCAACAAATCATGTCGGTATGAACCCAGTCGCTGTCGCGTTCGTCGTAGTCGGCGTGCTGTGGCTTGGCTTGTGGCTGTTGATAAGCTGGCTCCGGCATCCTCCCATGGCATGTCCATATCCGCGGCATCCAATAGGTCTTTGAATGTAGTAAAGCATGTGCTGTTTTCCGGGAATGACAATGTCTGGCCAGCCCCTGACGCCTCATCCAAATCGGCAATGTAAATAGCCTTGCTCATCATCAGGTTTGGTCGAATTCCAATACGTTGCATGAATCCGGCTGCCCTCCGTTCACCCCACCACGTTGTCACCTCGCTCGATGTCAGAAGCACATTGGTGAGTGTGCTGAATCCAAGCAAAGCGAGGATGATCCACTGAGCCGTGATAATATTAAACGCCTTGCGTAGAATCGCAATAGCACCCATGATAACTGATGATACTGCGCTCTCGCCCAGAGATCGAACTGTCTCGAATATCATGGTGGTCAACGTTCGTGGTTTGATGACCTGCTTCTTAGCTGAGTCCGTCGCACCGGGTCTGAAGACCACCACCTCTGTCTGTTGGCCGATCTGTCCATACACTTGGATTGCTCTGTTCGTCCGACTTCGAGGTCCGAGTTTGCGGACCTGGTCTGTGGCAACTTCGGCAAGCTCTTCAGCATCACTTGCGGCATCGCGAAGCGCTTGACGCTCCACCAGATTCTTTGACAGAGCCGGAAGCTTGGACCAGTCAATCTTGGTGTAGATGGCAAGCTTGCACTTGGATTTGGCCACATGTGTGATGACGATCTTGGTGATGACCTTGAACCAGCTTGAGTGAGGTAGATGCCACGCCGTTTTGACGTGTGTCACCACGTATGTGACATGGTCACTGAATACGTCAATGATCTGATAGTCGTTGACCTCGGCCTCCTTTGATCGGCCCAGGACATCCTTGTAGTCGACCTTGAACTGGAAGTCCCGTCTCATCCTTCCCTGGTCAACTAGTACCCATGGGCCCTGGGCAATCTGCTGAGCACGTCGCTCAAAGTAAAGCTTCGGGAACACAAAGCTCTTGTCGCCAAATAGAACATGGAAACACGACTTTGCGCTGATCTCAAAGTTGCGCTCGGCTGCCATCTCCTTCATACCTTCTGGCTCGTAAATAACTGGTCGAACCGGTAGGTGAAGCTTGTGTATCTGTCTGGCCCTTGATTTCGAGGCGCGCATATGGGAGCTGAAGTCATTTCGCCTGTTTACCGGTCTTCCTAGCCAGGTTCCATCGTCCATCGGTGTATTGGCGGAAACTTCTTCCCAGCTCTCAACGCTGGGGCTTGGTCGCTCAAACTCTTCCTTCTCAAGATTGATCAACGCAGTAATGGTTTCCTCAACGTCCATGGGTTCCTCAGCCTGAAGGTCGTCGATCAACAGGTTCAGACGGGTGTGGAGAAGACCCAACTCTTCCAAGAAAACCTTGATAGTGATCCTAGTATACCCAGTGTCGTTGGAATCATCGCCCAGATGCAAGAAGATGAAATCGCAGTCCTTTCCTGGAGCAGCCGTCACCTCGGCAATGATATCAAGGCTGATGCTGTAGGCTGTGACGAGGCCTATTTGCTGTCCGTAAAAGTACATGTTGTCAGGTGTGACATAGATACGGCCATCTCCAGCCATGTCTGGTTTGCCAGGTCCACGCTCAGGGGAGCCAGTCCAGGCCGCTCGGAAGACGAGCACAAGTTTCTCCTCCAAAGGCGCATCCGGGAACAGCAAACGAAATTGCGCATGCTGGGCCCTCAACTCAGGGGGATAGTTGCGTGGGAACAGCTCACCAGTCTGTTTCCGCGAGATGCCCTTGCCAAGACTAGCCTGTGAACTTCCGGGAACCACAACTCCAATAGGGTCGTCTTCATCAAGCCTAGGTAGAACGGGTTGGGTCGGCGTGTTCATGGCACCCCAAAGACTAGTTCCCCAGTAGTTGGCAATGACGGAAGCTGGGAGCTTCCTATTGCTCCCCACAGGGCGACGCTCTCCCGCAGCCAATACGGCAATGCGACTCAAGCCTGTCATCGAGGGAGGCTTAGCTAGAGTAGCTGGAGCCAGAGTGCCAGATTGGGTGTCGACCGATGGCAGCATGCTAGGCGTTTGTCTGAAGGTGGAAGAGCTTGCTGGAGCATTTGAGTATCCGGGTAGAAGAGTGTGGCTGGTGGACATGTTTGAAAGTCCAGGAGATCCTAGGCTACTTCCCTGGGCAGCCTCAGAACCTGCTTGACTACCAAATGTGGCCTTGCGGTGAAGATCAAGCTTTTGGATAATCCTGGCTGCATGTTCACGGCCACTTTCACCCTCCTCTCGTGCCAAGTCTCTTCCCAGGGCCGTGATGGATCGGCGAGACAAGCTGCCATTAACATCAAAGCTCTGCCTCGTGCTGAGGTTACCATCTGTCCCAGGAACTGGCAGCGTACTTGTTCGCTCGAACCCACTCCCAGATTCGTCGTAGATACCAATCTGTGCATCGAGTGTCTTGGCTGAGAATTCTGGGATGCTTGGCGGTGTAATGGAAAAGGCGGGATCAACAGCACCAGGGAGGGTAGCGTTGTTTCTGTTCATGCTTGTCTCGAAGGCGTTCTTTTTGGTCACCTCAAAAACCTCCAGCCACTCCGTGAGTTCGCCTTGTGTCTCGGCTTGAAGGAGTATCGTCTGGCTCTTTGTCTTGACCTCGAAGCAGAAACGTCGATCCTCGGCCACCGCCGGCTTTGCGTTACAAAGCAAAACTCCAATCTCATCGCCCTGGAGAACTCCCAGCGGACCTGGGATAAGCCAGCCAAAGATACCATCGCGGCAGTAGTACCACCTCCTGATCCACGTATGTCTTGCGGGTTTGCCAGAGAGTGCGCGGAGGAACAGCCAGCCTTGCTTCTCCGAGATGACAGGGACACCCTCCTTGAGGCGCAGGGTGACGGGACCACGGGTGCCGAGAAAGGGGACAGTCGAGGTGCTGTAGTCTTCGAGCTCGCGGGACGGCTTAAATCCTGCGAGCGCGCCCTCTGCAAGATCTCGCCTGGCCGATTGTAGTTCACGTCTGAAAACCATCTCTGAAGCTCCCATCTCATTCGACCAGCCCTGGATTCGTTCCATCTCGTGATTCCACCGAAAGGCGTTGCCAACCGCCTCTCTAGTGCGCTTCAGCTCCTTCCATCTCTCACTGCAGATCCTGACAAGTAGCTTGTCCATGCTGAAGCGTAGCTGGGGAGCAAGCTGGCAGTAGTCCATGGACGCCTTCAGGTATAGCTTTCGGGTCTCGAACACGGCAAAGGCGTCTTCGCGGAGAGCTGAAGGTTCTTTTGTCTTTGACTGACTAACGTAGCGGGCCAAAGTGGTGTCAAAGGTTCGCTGCGCTTGTTCCATAGCTCTCCTGCACTCCTTGAAGTTCCTCAGGTCGCCAACAATGAACTGCCGGATGGGATCGACGATAGAGCCATCCATCTTCTTCATAGTGCTCAGCATTTGAATCCAGTATTCGCGCCAGCCATCACCGACCCTCTTGAGGGCCAGAAAGGTATAGTCGTTGTCAACAACGCCGTCGGCGGCCGAGGGCATCATCTTGACGATGTAGGTGTTGACGGTCTCTTCGAGGGCGAGGAAGTCGTGCAGGAGCTTCGAGGTGGACTGGACGTAGCCGTTGAGCCATCGTTCGATGGCATCGACCTGCTCACCAAAGGTGGTGGCGGTTACTCGAAAGGTCGGGGAGTCGAGAGCGGCTTCGTTGAGGCCAACGGGGATGGCGCGGCCAGCTTGCATGGTCGCAGTGCCCGGTGTGCCCGGTGGTTCAGGCATGATGAATGATGAATGATGTTCAGCGCCTGACTACAGCTTCAGTTGACACTGAGCTGTGGTCTTTATGGCGCGAAATAATATGGCGGTGGGAGATGGAATGATGCTGGTAAGATGGTGGTCGATAGGATAGGTCGAGCCCTTGTTGTTTCCCATGTTGACGTAGCACCCTTGCTCGTTCGTACCTTCCTCTCGCATTCGTAGAAGGCCCCCACATCAAAGTTACGGACGGAGTTGGAAGGAAGGTGGTCTCAAGCCACAACTACTAAGCGCAACGGGAAACCCCAAACTCCATGATTACCGGCGTACGTACTACGTTTTTCGCCTACGGACAACTGAACGAACGGAATACGCGGAGCTTTTAATACCTACCCTGGGAACTGCGGAGCTTCCCCTCGGTCAAGTAATCTCGCTGCGGAAGCAGCCGTCAAATGCGAGGGCAGGATTACGCAGCCATGGGAACGAGGGAAGCCTTCGGACACGGACAAACTCAAGCAACGCGTGAACGCGCCAACTACATCACTTTTGAAAACTGCTCAACAATGGCCATGCAAACGACTAGTATTTTGTTGATTCGACGCGTCGTGACTGCTCGTGGTTGAGACCCGTCAAGAAATGACGAACAAGCCTGCAGCCAGCTCACGCCGATTCTACTCCATGACAACAGATCTTTCAAGCCATACAGAGCGACAAAGCCCGTGACGGCCCTCGCGGATCCTCTAGTCGCCGTGACACCCCGATCCTTCAATTTTAACGCGTGGGCCTACCAGCAGTTAGACCTGACTTCTGGGATTGCAGAGCAGAGTTGATGGTTTATCTACCTCTATTCCCGCCGATCATAACTCAAGCCGTCATCATTGTGCGAAGCGGACTGGGTCGCGACACCTGACGGGGGTAATGGGGAGGCGCGAGACTGTCCCTCCCCATCAAGCGCTTCTGAGCGATTGGCATCGGCGCGGCATCGGTCGACCTCTGCGCCTCGAGGCGCATGGCACTGTTGTCGTGCGTGGACGGTTGAACTTGAGTCGATCCCTCGCTGGTGACGAGGGGATCCGCTGGTCAATCTGCGCCAATGTTAACTCAAGGAATGGATTTCCATGATCAGCTGTCACTCACCGTCGTAGTACTCGTCGTCGTCGCTCAGGTCAGCTAGCTGCTCAAAGTTGACCTTGTAGCGGAGAAGGCCTCCAATGCCACCGAAGCCCTTGACGAACTGGTTGCCCTCGGTGGATCGGTCAGAAACAAACTCGAGCGCCGTACCAAAGTCCTTGTAGTGCTCAGCAATCCATTCCAGGAACGAATCTTGAGAGACAATGTCCATTTCCTGGCCAGTTTCCTTGTCGAGGAACTTGTCGCGGTTGGCCTGCTCCTGCTGCTTGGTGGTGTGGAGGATGATCTCGCTGCCGTTGCTGTCCTTGAGAACCCAGCGGGTGATCTCGAGGTTCTCAAAGACGATGAGAGTCTCGACAGCACCGAGCTCAAGAGCCTTCAGGGTGTCCTCAATACCGTAGCAGACCTTGCCGGTGTCCTGGCTAATCTCCTCAAAGTACTTTCCGATGAGCTTCTTCTCCTGGATGAACTTGACGTTGCCGAGGGTCTCGGACGACAGCTCGATGGCCTGGTTGAAGCCGTTCTCACCACCGTAGGAGACATCGACAACCTTGATAACCTTGGACTGTAGACGGTTGTCGAACATGTCGGAAGCGTTGAGGTCGTTCTTGAAATCGGCGGAACCAGCGAGGATGATACCAGCGACGTTGACCTTGTCGGCGGTAATGAAGTTCTGGACAGCCAACTCGGCGACCTTGCGGACGTAGTTGTGACGCTTCTCCTCTCGCAGACGGGCGAAACGCAGGGCGGACTGACCACCACGGCCGTGCTTCTTGGGAAGATCGACAGAGAACTTGTGGACGACCTCACGGGTGTTTCCGCTGAGAGTACCAAAGAGGGCACCGTTACCATCCATGATGATGAAGCCAAACTTCTGGTCAGACTCGAGCAGCTCAGCCAGGGCCTCGGTATGGAACTTGTTGTCGCACAGGTAGAGGGAGGTGTTGATGGGCTTGAAGGGCTCGAAATCGATGTTGACCTTTCGCTCCTTGCCTTCGGAAGTCAAGATTTCACCACAGTAGACGACCAGGCCGTTCGGGGGGACCTTGTTGTACAGCTTGAGGCGCTGCTGGGTCGAGGTGATGGCGGACAGGACGGACTGTCGGTTGACACGGGACTTGATGTTGGAGGCGGTACCCTGAGGAGTCGTCAGCGAGGTCACGGGGGAGTTGGGAACAGTGGCAGAATCGTACGTATTCTTCAGCCAACATCTTGGCTGCCCGAGAGACCTGATCCTTGGGAGCTGGACGCGGACGTGTTAGTGCGCGGTTTCGGAAGCGGAGCAATGGAGCGACTCACGGATGATGAGGGAAATCATGGAGGTTCCATTTCCTCTGGCGGCCTCGAGGCGCTTGATGAGCTTCTTGACCTTCCAGATCTCAATCTATCGCGGGATTAGTCGTCAGTTGCGGTTGGAAAACTTGGGGTTGAAGGGGGGGGTAAATTGTTTGATTTCTGGGAACGCGGGGCAAAAGTTGACATTAAGGAGGGGCGATGCTAGACAAAGACGTACGTTCTTCTCGGCCTCGTTCGCCTGAGCGTCACTCATCTTGGTAGATGTATCGAGGACTCTTTCTTAGCGAGGGGTTCTTCTTGGCTTCTTCTCGCGAGTCTGGGGACTCGTTCCTGTTTGTAGGCGTGATCTCTGGAGCCCGAGCGAGGATGCCAAAGCCAAAAAGTTGGATGTTAGTGCCAGATTTTTTCTCGTGCAACGGGCGATGACCTAGGCACCCGCAACCCGCACGCACTGAACCCACTTTACTGGGTGTGTCTGCTAAATAAAATGTGGCCACTGAACTTTTGCTGCCTGTGTCTGACTCTCGACCTGCTACGCAACAGCAGGCAATTGCCCTGTGTGAATCCAATGACTTGCTGCCCGAGCGGGGCGTCGGAACCTCCGCACCGCCACAATGACGGAAAACGCTTACTCCAGCCCCGGGCCATCGCGTCCACTCACTCCCCAGTCTGTATTGTCTGTCTGCCGTTGGTTGCCCTGTTGCCTTGACTTCCATCCATGACAAAGGAAGGATTGTTGACTCACCGACTGTTCATGTGCGTGCCACAATCCGGGGTCAGAGCTTGGTTAGAGGCAACAACCTCATCAGGCTGGTATGGATATTCCATGTTCAAATCTACATACACCATGTCCAAAAAACGAGAGCTGTCACCCTTCAACACTTCTGGCCACACTCAATAAGAGGGGTGCCAAACCGGTGGTTGCCCCCGATCAACACTGGTTGACCCATTCTGAGCTGGCAAGTCATCCATGGGATATGCCTTCGTCGCGTCTTTTTTGCGTCGGCGTTCAACGCTAACTTGATGGACTTTCACAACGTCCATGATCAGCTCTCCAAAGAAGAGGACCAATGCCAACGTCACGAGTGTCAAGTCAACCCATGGGAAGAACGTGTAGCTCAGAGCTACGACAGCAACAAAAATCAAATCACCAATACTCAAAGCAAATCTCGTTGCTACCGGGACGTGCTTTATGCCAGCCTCGATGACGTGTACTGGACATTCGGAGGTGTATACTGCTGACTGCTATGTTTGGTGTTAGCTAGCAAGCCCATGATGTCCAAGGCATCTCGAAGATATTTCTTGCAGGGCTAACTGACATGATTCCCCTTCTCCAGTCCTACAGTATTGGTTCTGCTTGGCGCCCCCAGAGACCCAGGCAACGAATCGGTTCTGGTAGGCCCAGTTGTACTTGCTATGTCTGTCGCTGAGAAATTCGGATCTGGATGTAAATACGGAGCCTGACTTATATCTTGTTCATCATTATCGGTCGCAGACGAAGCTCTACCAGAAGAGTGGCCGGGTTGTACGAGCGTCTCTTGCGTAGTTGAAGCTTCAGTAATAGCGCCGAGGTTCGGCGTGGTCTCGCTTGTCAAGGAAGCCCCCTTAACAGCAGCCTTATGGTGCTGCTTTATACCTATGAAGCAATCGAAATTAGCGGGCAGTGTGTAAGAGAGATGGGTGGTTGCGTCGCCTAGACCCGACTTACTGCCAACCTCCAAAGCAGTCACTGCGAAAACAAATAGCAGAAGGACTGGCATGATCTGATCGAAGCTAAAGGACAAGATCTTTTTTGTGTCGACCCCCCTTTTTTTTGCAATGAGAAGACTGCACAAGTAGTGAGTATAGTAACCAAACCAGACAGCAGCCAACAACAACTCAAAAAAGATCGAGTCAACAATTTCCCACAGCAAGATCGGGACAATGATACAGACGACCTTGAAGTAGTTTGGCTTCTGTCTCAAAGCATTAATTTTGCTTTGCTCCACGAGAGTTGCCCTGGTATGCTTCTGAAGTAGGTAAGTCTTGACATCCATCCTCTTATCGCCACGGTCATAGATGAGTTTCAAGGGGCCCGTTGTCCAGAATCTTGGTGTGAACTTATTTTCGCGCGGCTTTATGGACATAATCCCGTTCAGGTAGAGCAACGAGGTTCCCAAAAGGATAGTTACACTGCAGGTCGCTGCTAATGCTGAGAGTTGCTCCTCGTTTGTGCAAATAAAGGACGAATCGATGTCATAGTACCATGTACGGGCTTCCAGGAAGACGGTTATGATGTACAGTACCAGAAAAAATACCATGATTCCACAGCGAACGGTTGCTTGGCACTTGTGCTCGAGAAAGTGCGGCTTGAGCACAACCAATGTGGAAAGGTGGACGGCCGAGGAGATAGATATGAGGCAAAGCCCGACCTGAAAGGCAAAGACTGACAGTTTGCAGACGCGAATATACATCGTGATGGCATAACATATGCCCGTCAGGAGTGTTTGGTCGCTAAGACTGAGGAGAAACGCCTGGTAGCCGAGGTTGTCTGGCGTCTCCTTTGGGAACTTTGTAGCCCATGCCGGCAGCTTCGATAAGAGTTTCTCATCGAGCCACGTATAGTAACAGATGGGGATACCGCCTCTGACAATAGCAATAGCGGCAATAAGAAGTGCCAAGGCGGCCGTGAAGACAAAGGCGATGATGATCTGCGAGTAGAGTTGTTAGCTAAAAGACCCTCTCAATCAGCAAAGCCTTACCCCTATTCCATGCATGTCAGGATCAACAACATCCTTTGCTGTATCTGGGCAAGACGGCTGGGTGCAGATCCCCATGGTGAAGAATGTGGAACTGGGCAAGAGAATGACGCTTCGAATATGAGCCGGAGTCCGGGAAGAGTGTGGCAGCTAGGAAAAGAGAATACTATTGCGAATTTGGCCGGGCCTAGTCCACTTCATGAGGATGCAGCTGGGTTTAAATACTCGGGCTGAGTTCTTACTCGCAGCTACAGTGTGGCACATCCCATCCTTACAGGCTGACAATGTGCAGGTCCCAACCTATCAGTAGTGGTGATGCCAGAGCCTGCTTCGCCAAGCCCCTGAAGAAAGGCATGTATCCCTCACGAATCTATAAAAAGAGAGGATTTGGGGGGGCTCGAACTCTGGAACTCAAACTATCCCCGAGCGACTCAGTTCGAGCCCCCCCTAGCAGTCACCACTTTTGTCTTGGACTCGAGATGGTGTTTGCCATGCCACCGTCTTGTTCGATTCCTCCCCTCCACGATGGGAGCCCATACTAAAAGTTTACATCCGATCAAACCTTTAAAACTCAATTAAAAAAGCAAAAAAGAGAGAAGAGTATGGGTTTGCTGCGGAGGGGACTGTGCTAAAGGGATGTGTTGGGCGCGTTGGATACAAGGGAGCAAAGACTCGACCAGGTGAACACTTGTGACCTGTGTTCGGCTGCGATCTTGTGCAAAGGGATTGTGGAATGACCGGTTACAAGGGAGTATGGCGTTAACCACTCGACCAGGTAGAACACTCTTAGCAGCGGATTTGAAAGGGGAACTGTTGGATTTGATGATAAGGCTTCATCACTTACACCGGCATACAGGTGTCGGACACTTGGTGGTTTGGTTTGTGAGAGCCAATCAGTGGGGCCGACCAATCAGCTGCACTTCCGTTCCCCGCGCGCTAGTTTGCCGCCCCGGTGGGTATCAGCCGCAACTCGGCTCTCCGACGTCAGTTGCTCAGCTTCAGCGTGACCAAAGCGCCCAGGTGCATATCCATCAGCTCTTCAACAAGGGTCACAGCTCGATACATCGCAGCCTGCCCACCATGGACTCGGTGCCTACAGAGCTCGCGTCCACTATCCAGTCCGCGTCCATCAAGCGCCACCCGGACGCGGCCCTCGACGTCAACCCGCCTACAGCCGCCTCGACGAGAGAGCCCGTGATATTGCAGAGCCTCAAGCACGGAAGCGACGACGGCATCGACGAGGACGAGGAAGATATCCCATACAGCGTCCTCCGCCCACAGCCGCGACACTACAACCTCCCTCCCCTGCCGGACCTGCGCTTCGAGCAGAGCTATCTCCGGAGCATCTCCAAGGCGGACACATGGTGGAAGGTGGCGCTCATCACGACGAGAGATCAGGTACGGTATGCCCAGCTATGTAGAAGACGTTTTTACTGATGCGGTGACAGATTCTGGTCCCCTTGACACAGGGCTTGTTGTACAACTTGTTCCTCTGCGGTTGGCAACACTGGAATAGGAATGCTCGACTACACGGCAACACATTAGGTGCTCGGGTGCGGCGATGGTGGTGGGGAGTGAATAACTGGAAGATTCACTGATGCAATCCAATATCTTTATAAGAACTTGATGCACTCCAGCTCCTGTCCCATACGCTAGGTGACTGACCGAGATGCATCCTAGATGCCGAAGGAGGTCAACTCAAGACCTCACAAGGCAAAGAAAGAAACAATAAAAATAATCCATAATATTGATGAAAAACAGCCGAGGGAGCATCCTATCACTACCGTCTTCTCACTGTTACTTTGCCCTCACGACCCAGGAATCCATGTAGGCAACTCGGCATCATTCTCTCGCTCAGAACTTTCAAAGTTGGATGAATTATGTGTTTATTTCCTTTTTGGTATCAAAAACATACAACGCGTTCGCCCTCGCTCGCGTTCCGGCCAAATCCCCTAACTTATGACAAAATACATAACCAGGGCTCAACATGAGTATCTCTGCTGGGTATTGCTTCGCCATCTCTCGTCTGGATGGCCCATCGTCGGCATCTCATGCAATGTGCCGTGCCATCAATACCCTTTTTTGCCGCATGCCAAAAATCTATTCCGCCGTGATACCGACCCTTGGCCATGTTAACTCTATGCCATATAAGCCCCCTGTTCCGGAACTCCGACAAAAACATTTGATTAAACCGCCACTCCCTACTCGCGGCTTGTGCCAATATCAATAGGCCGGGGGACCGGTTGAACATGCGGCTTCTCTGGGCTTCCTCTAAAAGCCAGAGGCGTCGCATGGATCGATGCAGGAGTCGCGGCCTGGCGCTCTGCAAACTTGGTGTCTGGGGCCGGGGATACTCGAGCTGCTGGCTCAACCTTCTTGCTGGCAGCTTCCTTGATTTCGGCCTCAGTAGCCGGGGCATCCTCCATCTCGACTTGAGGCGCCTCAGAAGCCTCAGCCTTGTCACCCCCTCTCTCAGAGCTAGGTGTCGGAAGCTTGTTGCTAGCATGCGGGTTTGGCGCCAGGACGCTTCGCAGCTTTGGTGGCGTGACTGACAGCTTCACGACCAGGCTGCGGGCTGAATCATCCAGATCATCGTCAACCATGGCCTCATCTTCATCAAACTCGTCTTCGTCCTCCGACTCCTCAGGCACGTGCGCATCGATGTCTTCCTCGTCGTCCCCAAATTCAGCTTCGCTCTCATTCTCAGAGTCATCCGCGGTATTGTGCCGAGAGCCGTTGCTGGTTCCTGCCCAGCCACTGGTACCATGGTTGACAGCTGCTGACCGTCGAGGCCGTCCTGTTGGGCCCACCGAGTTCTCCTTTTCGACTTCCGATGTGTCTCCCTGTACACTACCAGGAGCACTGCTACCTGTCGCAGCATTCAGTCGGGTTGGCGCCCTGATCTGCCGGCCACTCGAGGTGGTCACCGGGCCGGTTTCGACTGGAGTATGAGTGCCAGTGTTGCGGGCAGAACGCCGAGTAGTCGAGTCGCTGAAGATATCCTCATCGTCTGAATATGTGTACTTCATCTTCTTGCCCCGAGTGCGACCCTCGTAGAGTGAGAAGCCGGGCTCAGGTCGCTTGAACTGTTCCTTTCGCATCTGGCGGTATTCGCGACGCTTACGTTTCTGTCAAGTGTTAGTAGGAGAAACGCAAAGCATGCCTACTTGGCATTTGGATGGATCTATACTGACCTCTTCCCCAGCTTCGAAACGAGGTACCGCAGAGGTCATCTTCTGAGCCAACTTCCTAGCCTTTGGGCCCCCATCCTTGACCTCGAGCTTCTCGGCAAGGGCCTTGAGCTCATCAATTGTGCCTGCCACACTCCACCATGTGCGCTTCGTTCCAGCAGGGTTGCTTTCTCGGTAGATGCGAAAGGCTGTGTCGTCTTGTCCCTCAATTAGGAAATAGCGACGCTTGTCGCCGTCGGATCCCCATGGCTGGACCGATCTCGGTTGGTTCGCATCATCTTCGTGGCGGTTCTGCTTGTAGGATTGGTTGATGAGCCCCTTGACAGTCTCGGACGACGAAAGAGTCCAAAGGATCAGAGTGCGTAGCAATGTGAGCTGCAAGATGGTTAGCGGTGATCGCGCGATCAAGTAGAAATTGAGGTAACACACCCTCTGCGTGGGGTTCATCGACGCAAATGTTGCGCCGCCAGACAAGGGGTTCTTGTCCTCCCAAGCGGGCGCCCATTGGTTCTTGTGGGTGCTAATGGCATCCTCCAGGGCGCGGCCGTAGTGGCCTGGCCTAGAAAATTGCTTGTCAGCATGCTGTTTTATCGTAGCGAAAGGGGCGGCCGTACTTGACATCCTGCTTGCGATTCAAGAGTAACCCCAGCAACGCGCAAAGAAAGTGTTCGACTCGATCGCCGGGGGTGGCTTCGACAACATCGCGCTCGAGCTCCTGAGGGCCAAAGTGGGCGAGGGATTTGGGAAATGCGTCGTGGAAGCGGCTTCTGAACATTACAATGAACTGCATCTGTTAGCAAGGGCCCTTGACGTCAGGTACGCGACCAGGTCGCGTCGCAAAGGTGGCAACACGCGCCAAACCATTGCCTTTTGAAAAATGAATAAAAATCGGGATGCAAACACATACAGCAATGTCGGGATTGTCTGCCAGGACATATTCGTGAGGCGGCGAGGGTGATCGTTTGCGCGGCGGCGGCGAGGGCTCTTTGGGTGGCTGCTCCGCAACCGTGGAGAAGTATTTCTGGATGCCTTTCTTGGTCTTGGGCTTGGGCGCCTCCAAATCTTCAGGAGCATCCAGCTCGATATCTGACGGCGCCGAAGATAAGGACGAGAGGTCCGAGGAATCGTCGTCCGACATTTTGCGGGCGGCTGCTCGATGTTGTTGTTGTGAGGATGGATCGAGGTTGAAATGGGAGATGGAGATGGAGATGTGGGGGGGAAGAAGCAGCCCAGGAGGAACGACGTAACTTGGGCTCTCACGCGGAACAAGCACACACTAGCCTCAGGTTGCGAACGAGCCGCAAGCCTTATCAAATCTGATAGGTCGACCAAGCCAAGTTAACTATTTGAGCAACACAATAAACACCCAGAGCCTTGTCGTCTGTCTCTGGCTCCCTGAGGTCCTGGCCTGAGCAGGTATGTCTCCTCGCCTGGCACTCGACATGACAGCAACATGAGGTCTGTGAGCCCGACACACATGAAGCTCGCATGCCCTCATCCACACATACACATTCCCTCGTCAAATCTTCCAAGTTGAAGATTGCCATCATCCATGAACGCATCCATCATACCCCAACCTATCCATCCCATGTTATGACTCTTAACCTGAGACGGGATTGAAGGCCCGCTAGGTGCATTCGAGTCTAGCAAGTCTGTTTTGTTGATCCTTCTCCTGACGGTCGCGACTCAAGTTCTGTGTCGTTGACCTTGAGCGGGCATCCTGGACGATCCCCAGCACCCAACCAACCCGTCGACTTATGTCACCCCCGACGCCCATTCCCTGCTCCCACAAGTGCAAAAACGCTCCTGGAGTCCATTCCCGTAGGCTCAGCCTGAAATCGAGGCGAGCCAACCCAGAGCGGATGACCACGTCTCACACAGAGCCTGAGTGACAAAATAAGAGTTTTCTCACCGCCTTAACCTTCAGATAGCGCAGAATTCGCGCCACACATCAATGGCTGTCTCAAAAGATCTTGAGCATCCGCAGAGGCAGACCAGGGATGCGTCCCACTGAGAACGCATAGGTTTTGTCTTGAATCCCAACATCGTAACACGGGGCAGCAGCTCACAATGTGATTGTTCTCCATTTTGACCATCCAACGGGTCAACCACTTGGTCGGACCCAACCACTCCCATGCATAGAAGCGTTTCAGAGCTTCTCCACGATGATTCAGCCAAACCTGATGGTGAGCGAGCCACAATTCAAACAGCCCGTGAGGCAACCTTCCATGACATAAGACTTGAGATATCCGTGATAGAAACTGTCAAGATGCGATGAAGCCCGACAACCGTTCCGCATTGCATGTAATATCACAACATGGTAGCAGGCTGAAATGTCGCGTAGGTCAGGCGTCGCGGTAATCTTCCAGTAGCCGGGGTGTTGTTCCGTTGTGGTGATGATCTCAGCCAGAGGACGTTGGGGGATGAGATGATGGCATTGGCTCGGTACGCGTCGCGCCGGCGCAGGGCGCACGTTAGCCAAGGTACCGGGCAATCTCTGGCACGTCTGGGTTGAGTTGGCCGGGTTCCCGTCATTTTTGCAGGTTCCAAGAGCTGGGGCCCTGAGTTGTTCGGCTGCCGCGCCCCACATCTTTTCCACTGATCGGCTCGCGAGGTGCAGGTCACGTGGTCAGGGCTCCCTTCCCACCCATTGAGGTCCCGCGCACAAAAAATTATCAAGCTCAGTGCACCGACGGCCCTCTTTGACAAAACACCAAGCGGCCCAAGCCAGGTAAATTCCCATCCTTACCTCTTCGCCCTCGATCCTCCATACTAACCCACAGCTTCACAGCATCTACCGTGAAGAAGAGCCACCATGGGTAGAGTCATTCGCAACCAGCGCAAGGGTCGTGGATCCATTTTCAGTCAGTACCGATCGAGCCTCCTCCCGACGATATCGAAGTTTCGAAAATACTAACATCCAGGAAAGCGGCCAACACGCGCCTGAACAAGGCTCCCGCCAAGTTCCGCAACCTCGACTACGCCGAGCGCCATGGCTACCTCCGAGGTGTCGTCCGCGAGATCGTTCACGATGCTGGCAAGTTCCCCGACGAGCTTTCCCAAGAATTATTTTTTTTCGACGGAAACCACAGACACATTGGCCATGGAGGAACGACGACTAACCATGATTGTTTTGTGCAGGTCGAGGTGCTCCCCTCGCCAAGGTCGTGTTCCGCCACCCCTACCGATTCAAGCAGGTCACCGAGACCTTCATCGCCAACGAGGGCATGTACACCGGCCAGTTCATCTACGCCGGAAAGAAGGCTGCCCTGACCGTCGGCAACGTCCTTCCCCTCGGTGAGATGCCTGAGGGTACCGTCGTCTCGAACGTCGAGGAGAAGGTTGGCGACCGTGGTACTCTCGGCCGCACCTCCGGCAACTACATCACCATTGTCGGCCACAACCCCGATGAGGGCAAGACCCGCATCAAGCTCCCCTCTGGTGCCAAGAAGGTTGTCCTCTCCAAGTCCCGAGGAATGATCGGTATTGTTGCTGGTGGTGGCCGAACCGACAAGCCCCTCCTGAGTACGTTTTCCCTGGTACAAGATTGGTAGGTATGGATTGCTAACAATAGAAACAGAGGCTTCTCGTGCCAAGCACAAGTTCGCTGTCAAGCGCAACAGCTGGCCCAAGACTCGTGGTGTTGCCATGAACCCCGTCGACCATCCCCACGGTGGTGTATGTATCCCCAGGATTAACAAGGCAAAAACAGAAGAGCTGACACTCGACACAGGGTAACCACCAACATATTGGTAAGGCTTCTACCATCTCCCGATACGCCGCCCAGGGTCAGAAGGCCGGTCTTATCGCTGCCCGGAGGACGGGTCTTCTCCGTGGTACCCAGAAGACGAAGGAGTAAGATGGCGGCTGGTTCATGGTCTCATTGGGATGGTGTTATACTGGCTTGCTTGCATCTATTGATGGTACTGCTGAGAGCAGATGGCTGGTAGCTCAAAGGGCAAGTACTATGGCATTTGGCGCAAAAAATCTGAAGGCCGTTTCTGTGTGAACGATGTGCGCTGCGCGAAAGAAGTGAGATACCAGGAATACCAGAGATGCTCAGGGCTTGCGGTCGTGAGGTGAGGAGCCTGCTTGATCGGTAATGATGTCCGATTGTCAATCTACAGTTAAAGCCAAACACGTGTCTGCCTGCCAATCTGTGGATGCATCTCGTCAAGGTTCGCGATGGATCATGGCCAAGGGTCACCTGCTGCTATGATGCGGGTATCCGGGTCAACTAGTCCTTGCCGAAGCGATGGATCGTATGATGGTGATCTCGATTGAATTGAATGCTTGTCTACCTTTTTCCATCTTTAAACTCCACCGTTGCAAACACTCTCAACACCATTGATTTTTACAATTGATCGAAACAATGCTCGCGAGACCGTCCACATCCCGTCTTCCCTCCCTCGTCTGTCGCACGTGGGCTCGCAGCCTCTCAGGCGTCGCTCCCACTCGGACGCCGACGACGACGCTGGCCCCACGTCGACTGGACCTGAACCCCACCAAGACGGGCATCAACCCCTCCATCCATCTCAAACTCTTCCCTTCGAGAGCTGCATCTACACCATCATCTTTTGTATTTACTAGACAATTGAACACCATGGCCCCCGTTAAAGAGTTTTCCCTCCTCTGCCTGGAGAACCCTCTCCTCGGTGAGTCTCTCCGAAGCTTGAATACCCCTCAATGAGCAAATCTTACGTCCTTACACCGACATGTCCTGTCTTGGATTGCGTGCTGACGGTTACCTTTTTGTCCCTCCCCCGCAGACATCCAGGCTGTCGGTGACCAAGCCCTGCTCGACAAGTACGGTCTCAAGGCCAACGATGCCATCCTCGCCGAGGAGAAGCACATCCCTCTCTACGAGGACCTCCTCAACAACTACGATGCCAAGCTCATCGCCGGTGGTGCTGCTCAGAACAGCGCCCGAGGTGCTCAGTACATCCTCCCTCCCAACAGCGTCGTCTACATCGGCGGTGCCGGCGACGACAAGTACTCTGCCATCCTCCACGACGCCGTCAAGGCCGCTGGCCTCCGCGTCGAGTACCGTGTCGACCCCAAGGAGAAGACTGGCCGCTGCGGTGCCATCATCACTGGCCACAACCGAAGCCTGTGCACCGACCTCGGTGCTGCCAACCACTACGACCTGGACCACCTGAAGCAGCCTGAGATCTGGAAGCTCGTCGAGAACGCCGAGGTGTACTACGTCGGTGGATTCCACTTCACTGGTGAGAGAGAGCTCCAGCAGCTTAGCTCACGTTCAATTGCGCTAATATAAACCAGTCTGCCCCCCCGCCATCATGGAGCTTGCCAAGCAGGCTGCTGAGCACAACAAGATCTTTGTCCTCTCCCTCTCCGCCCCCTTTATCCCCCAGTTCTTCAAGGAGGTTGTTGATGCCAGCGCCCCCTACTGGGACTACATCATCGGTAACGAGACCGAGGCCGCTGCTTACGCCGAGTCCCACGGCCTGCCCAGCAAGGAGCCCAAGGACGTTGTCAAGCACCTTGCCAACCTCCCCAAGGAGAACACCAAGCGAAAGCGAGTTGCCATTGTCACTCAGGGCACTGACCCTACCCTTGTTGCCATCCAAGGTGAGGAGGGTATCAAGGAGTTCCCCGTCCACGCCATCGAGACCGAGAAGATCAACGACACCAACGGTGCCGGTGACGCCTTTGCCGGTGGTCTCCTTGCCGGTATCCTCGAGGGCAAACCCCTTGAGACCAGCATCGACCTCGGCCAGTGGCTCGCTCGTCTCAGCATCCAGGAGCTTGGACCTTCGTAAGTTCACCCCCACGAGCACGATTGATTCTACCACCTCGCAAGACATTGATTGCAACTTCATTTCTTCTACCTATCTTCCCCTACAGCCACCATCACGATGGCTCCTCCTCCACAAGGGCACCAGTCCCCGGAATCATCCATCTCAGAAAATGTCTCAGCTAACCGTCTCCCGCAGATACCCCTTCCCCAAGCAGACCTACCAGGGTGCTTAAACCCATAAACAACTCATCTTGCGTATCCTTGATCAAGGGACTGAATGTGGTTTGGCGTTGATAGGGAAAAGGGAAACGGTTTCAACAACGGCGTTTGCATCCAAATGGGAGAGAGAATACCCTGATTATGGGGGGGAGCTCCCAAGCGCACAGCGGCACGGTATCCTCCACGATATCGAGTATTTGGCAAGCATATTTTTCTGAGTGAATATAAAAAATGAGTGACTTCTTGCCTGAGAAACCAAAAGAATCGCCCGTGCCTGATTGGCGTGTAGACCAGCACAGCACACAAGGTTTGTGTATAACCAGCCTGGGCTGTTGTGTCGCAGTAACTCGAGATCAGATGTTGTGCAGAGATCTGGTGTATCGGCAAAACAGCAGATCCAGATCCCGTATATGAGTGAATGTTGCATCGGCTGAATGATCGAGTGTGTCGATAAGTTCATATCGTCGTCAAAACCGCGAGGACTCCAAGAATGGGTGCTTTAGCTAGCACATGGTTGTTCGCTATAGTTTAGCTCAACTCATCGTGATGGTCCCGAATGGCCTAGCCAGGAACGGGACATCACGAAAGCGCCATGGCCGCTAACAGACTCGGCAGTTGGCCGTCTCCAATTGTCAGATTGGTTGATGTGAAAGTAGAAAAGGTTCAAAGAGAAACCCTTGGCCGCCTACTTGTTGTCGTGAAAAGCAGCCTGAAGAATAGCGGCGTCGTAGTTCAGAGCCGTCTCATCCATCTGGAAACGCCGGGCGGCGGACGGGACAGTCATCGACTCCTGAGTTTGAGTGCGATTATACTGGCTCATATCCATATAACCTCCAGACGGCATGCCATAGACAGCTCCGTTGGCTGGGGTTCCCTGGTACAGGCTGCTGGGGTGGGAGAAGGCAGATGCGGAGGACATGGGATAGCCGTTGAAGGCCTGGTGGTTGCCGTAGGACGATGGGACGGTCTCCTTGGGAATGCGAGACGAGTTCTGACCCCACTGACTGAACATAGACGTTCGGGGAGCCCTGGTGCTCACAAAAGATTGAAGCAGGCTGTTACGGTGAGCGGCTTCATCTGCAGCTGAAACGCGGCGAGGGCTTCCCATCATACCGCTAGCCACTCGAGGGGTCAGGTTCGTCGAGAGTTGCTGAGGTGAAGTGCTCGCAAAGGGATCCTCCAGAGTACTGACAGTCCCTCGGGGCAGGTCTCGGGACGAGAAGTTGGGGCTGACAGGGGCATCGAAGACATCTTTGCAAGCCATGGCGGAGGGACCAGTCGCCTTATGAGGGGTAGGCGTATATACCCAATCCCATGGCAAGGGCTTCAGCTTGCCAGAGGTGATCGAACCAGTTGGGCTAGGCTCAGGCTGCTGGATCATGCCAAAGACCTCATTCGCAGTCGCACTATGCATTCCATAAGAAGTCTCATCGCTAGACCGGTGGGATGACTGGGTAGCATCCGAGATCGGGGGCTTCAGGAAAGGGGTGAGCATGCCGAGGATAAAGGTGCTTTCACTCTGGGCGGGGGAGGGTGCTCGAGGCTGAACCTGAGGTTCAGGCTCGGGTTGAACCGTAGGTTGGGGTGAAGTGAGTGATGCCTTTCTCGCGCCATCGTTAACCGGAGGTCGGTTTTCGGTTTGTCCATTGTCGGGCTGTCGATTAACAGATGTGGTGCGCTGCCGGCCGGGGTTCTTAGTGTTGACCTTGAGTTCGCGCACAGGGGAATTGACGATTGACATTGGCTCAGGAGCATTGCTCATAACGGGGACATTGTTGATAGCGGCGGGGGCGTTGTTCGCAACAGGGACGACTTGATATTCAAAGACCAGACCCCGTTCAGAGACACGATATGCGAGAGGGCAAGAGTTGTCTTCAGCCAGGAAATAGGCGCAACGAAGGATGTCCAGGATTCTGGCCAACATCTCTTGGAAAGGATCAAGTCGGTTCTCTTGAGACGGCAGTCGTGGCTTCAGGGTACCATTCTCGTTAAAGTAAGAACGGCAAGCCAGGGGAACCTGTTCCTCGGAAAGGGGAAGCAATCCCTGGGTGTCAACATCCTCGGCCAACAGGTAAGGGCACGAAGCTAGGTTCTCCTGGGTATATGTGTCGTTGCACAAGAGAGAGAAAACCTTGGAGAGGGCTTTGACCATATCCGGCAGAACTGCACCCAGCGCTTCACCAGCAGCAAAGATCTCGTGACGGCGAGCGGCGAGCCACATGCCGTAGATGCGGAGAAGTGGGAGGAGCGAAGTGATAGTAGGAGACGACTTTGCGGTAGCCGGGTCCTCGGATTCGTGACTTTCGCGACCAACAATTTCGACGAGCTCAGATTCCAGCGCAGCACAAAAGGCCAGGATAAACTGAGAGTTCAGGCGCAAAGTGTGCTGGCAAAAGCGCGATGTCGCAGGGGTTTGAGACTCTATGCGGCGTTAGGAGGTGCTTCGAAAGGTCGGGGCGTGCAAAACAAACCGGTAAACTTTTGCGTAGCAACATAGTAGCTCGACATGTTGATCAAGGACATCTTGAATAGGACCTGGGTGTGGCTGGCGCTCTTAGAGGCCATGTCAAGACGATGCAGAACCTCTCTCTCGAGCTCGGAGCTGTGTGACATGACTTCATCCCGATAGTACGAGGCGTGGAGCTTGGTGAACCAGGTGACAAAGGCATCGCTCGGCCCGCGTGTTTGCTTCTTGGGCGGGTTCTTATCCGGCTGCAAAATGGTCTTGAACTTGGACTCGAGGTTCTGTCTCGCATTGGGGTGAGGGTCGGCGGTCGCGATACTCCGGTAAAAGTAGTAGACGACGTCAAGGTCTTTACCCTCGTCCAGGCTGATGATGCCCATCTGGTGGAAGGGGAAGCCCGAGTCGGACTTGAGGTCGTAGGCAAGGCTGTAGTAGGCCAATGCGGTTCTATAGCTCGACTTTCTCAGACCGGACTGAACGTAGTAACGAGCCAAGTCGCCGAGGCATATAAGAGTATAGTGACAGGAATTCAGCACCAGGGGGTAGATCTGGCTTGGGACCGGGCTGATAACATCGCTGGTGGGAGAGCCGTCGACCTCGATTCCCTGAGCAATGCGCTTCAGCTCGACGATATCGTAGCGCGCCGAGAGGCGCTGGACATATCCCTTGTAGAATTCCTGAGCAACGTGCAGGAAGTGCGTGTACTTTTCTCCAAGCTTCCGCTTCTCCACGTTGCGCCTGTCGTTCTTCTGCTGCTTCGGGGTGCTCTGCTTGTCTCCCTTGGACTTTTCGCCATTGCGCTTCTCGGAAGCCGTCTTATCAGCCCTGTGCTTGTCCGAGTGCTGCGCCAGGTGTCTCAGGCGACCCAGGGTTCGTCGGTATTCGTTATTGATGCTGGTGTGCACCGTCCACATTGCGTGGTCGGTGCGCTCGGCGACAGCATACTCAAAGTCGAGGTAGATGGTTTGCACGCAGGCAAGGCGGAATCTGTGTTGAGGGCAGCTATCAGCATCAGGGGCGCAGCAGACTGCGAGCCATTATCCTCACTTTTCCAGCTGCGAATCTATCGCCTCGAACTGGGCGATGTCGACGCCAGCGTTATTATCTTTGGGGAGCTTCTCGAGCTGCTTGGTGAGGAGCTTTCGCAGCTTGAGCGCCGTGCTGGAATGGTGGTGAGGTCAGTGACTGGTAATGGGGGTTCGCGAAGCTGGCGGGGTATTGTCGAAGCAGAGCTCAAGCAACAGCAGGGAGGGAAGAGGGCATTCACACGTACCGCCACGTGTGTCTCGCCTTGGCAGAAAGGTCTGCGTGCTCTGGCGTGGAAGCCTGAGCAGCGGCAGCCTCCATGGTCGCAAAGTTGGGCGAGTTTCGGCGATCGGCGAGGTCGGCAGGGAAACTTGGCGAGCGCAGAGTACTAAGGCGAGAGGTCTCGTCGGCGAGGGCGGGACGGGACGAGGGGGGAGGAAGGATGTCGCGGGGGACAATTTTAGAGAGTTGGTATCGAACTAAAAGGATTCTCGATCATTCTTTCTTGGAGCAGGATCATGGAGAGGCTGTCGGTCCATAACTCGATCGCAGTTCGGGATGTTGGGTCTGGGTCTGGGTTTGGGGGGAGCAGACTCGGCGGCTCGCGAAAATCGAAGCGTCGGCCGAGGAGACACACATTGGCGGAGACGAAGAAGCCGGCGGGCGGGTGCAGCGAGCGAGCGAGGATGGGAGAGAATACGAAATGGGAAATGGAAAAGGAAAATAACACGAAAATGGGAAATATAGTTGAGCTTGCTGCAGGCTGCGTCGTTTGCGCCACAAAAACAAAAAGGCGCTGCTGAGAGTGAGTGAGTGAGTTCAGTTTGGGGTGTTGGGCGAGGCGCGGCGAAAAATAAATAAATGTGAGAATTAAAGTGAAGAGGGATGGATCGATCCGAGTTCTAAGCCTGAGCCTGAGCCGCCTCCCGTCAAACACGAGAACCCCGAGTTAGTTGAAGGTTGAACCCCTCAAGGTCCTGATTTGGTGCCCGTGGGAATACTTCGGATGTGCACTTCCAAGACCCTTGGATCATCGCTTGGAAGCCCGGTATCAACGCATCATCCGTCACCATTTCTGCAAGGCTACTGTTGCTAGTGTGTGTGTGTGTGTGTGTGTCTGAGGCTGCCCGATGGTTGGTACAGCCAAGGGCATGTTTGAGGCTCTAGAAATCACGTTGCTTCAATCACAGCGCACAGTTTATCCTCAAATTACACGCATCATCTCTCCTCGTCAACTTTTAAACGTCGGTTCATGCTTCATCACTCGTGGTCCGTGCTTGTCTCTTGTACCCCTCACCAGTTCATCATCATCAGGCAGCTAAAGAAAATGTTACATGCGTGATCAATTGACAACCACGTCAATGTTTAATATCGTGGTTTTAAAAAAGCAAATTTCATTAAACATCCGTGATGCATAAGGTTCATATCTATCATACCGTCAGCCTTTTTGACCATTCTTGCCCGAGCTGAACCAGTGGTTTTAACATGAGCCTATCGTTGGACGTTTGGTCGGCTAAGGCTGTAGCGAGCTTTAGCGCCCGTCACAGTGAAAACCCGGCCATATTTCACTGCCCGAGCTGCTGATCGGCCCGCAACTCCAACGCAGAAGCTCGAGATCCAATTCTTGAATATTGTCCCGGCTTTGCCTCAACCTCACAGTTGTACAGCCTTTAGCTTGACCCTTTCCTAGTAAATAACCACCAGATTATACACACCAAAACTGTCCAACATTGCTTCGCCTCCCACAAGCAACTAGCAACAGTCCAGCATCCTCTCAGACACGACAAACACACTCACTACCCTGCACTCACCGCTCCGCAAGTCTCTGGTTTGCTTCAAAAAAACGTAAATTCTACCGCCCCAATCAAGCTCACCACACACAAAAAGATGAAGCGCTCACGAGAGCTCCAAGGAGAGCTAGATTCGGACTCCGAAACTGCAGGTACCCAGCCCACCATCCGCCCGGTTTTCAAGGTCACCCAGCTCGACTCTGCCATCGACGACGAGCTCGACTCATTCGCCATGAGATGCAACTTGCCACCGCACAGAGAGCCTCTGGCTTTCAAGACCTACGACGAGTACGAGGTTCACTACAACAAGACTCACACAAATCGATGCCTCGAGTGCCGCAAGAACTTTCCCAGCGAGCATCTGCTCAACGTCCACATTGAAGAATGCCATGACCCGTTGGTGACTGTCAAGCGGGAAAAGGGGGAGCATACTGTAAGTTTAAGCCCATGACTCTCCTACATCATATGAGGAACCGACTCGACTAACATGGAATAGTACTCCTGCTTCGTGGAAGGATGTGAGCGCAAGTGCATGACACACCAGAAGCGACGGATGCACCTCATCGACAAGCACATGTACCCAAAGAACTTCTTCTTCGCCGTCACAAGAGATGGCATCGACGGTAGGAGGTCACTCTTAAACGACGGTAGTCACCACCGCCGCCGATCTTCAACCAACTCGCAAGTCACAAAGAGCTCTCGGCGCCGCGCGAGTCTCCTCGAGGCCGAGGGTGCAAATTCACAGCCGGAACCCAAGTCACCAAAGACACCAAAGTCACCAAAGGCACAGAAGGAGGAGAAGAGGCCCGACAGCGACAAGGCCCCAGACACGGAGATGGCAGACCTTGCGGGCGCCATGTCGTCGCTGAGCTTTGTCCCTCCAAGCATCCGGTTCGGACGCGGGAGGGCAGGCTTCTCCAAGAGATAGGATATGAATGGGTGTGGGGTGTCCAAGCTGTGTAGTATAATCAGCACCATGTTATGAAGATATGAAATGGCCAAATAAAAGGATTTCTACCTCATCATGTCGACCTCCATCGCTTTCCACCAGTCAGTCGTAGACCCCATGATCTGATAACTTCCCTGTTGCGCCAAACGCCGTCTCTTTTGGTTTCGTTTTTAGTCTTAATTTCCCATACCCGTCCGGTGTTAAAACTTGAGCTCGCCATGTCTAGTCGCTCGATGCGCAACCTCTGCAGCCGCAGCTGACGCACTGGATGTCCTGGTCCTCCTTCATCTCCGCTCGCGGTACTCGGCAGATACAGGTGCTGTTAAAATTTGTCTCCTTTGTTTGGATGCAGCGCAAACAACAGAGCTAGGTAGAGTTAGCGACGAAACATCAGAGAGCGGAAAGCATGATGAACTAACCTTCTCATAGCCTTGCTTCTTCCACTTTGCGATCAACATGGCGTCCGCGTAGCCGTTCTTTAGGAGGAAGTCGTACAACTTCTTGCTAATCGCCTCCTTCTCGTAGTATAACTCGTAGACGTATCGACTGCGCTGATGCGAGATCTGAAAGATTTCCCACTGGGCTTGATGCCTGGGTCCTGCTGGTGGGGGCTTGTTCTGCGCATCCTTCATCTTGTTCGCAAACACGAGCAGATCGCTTTCGATATCCTCGAAGCCCTCCGGCGGAGGCTTTCTCTTGGACGAGTGTCGGATCGCGGGCATGATGGGTGGTTGCGGTGGTTGTGTTGTTTGTTGGCTGTTGCGTGTGTCTCGTCGTTGTTTTGCTTGCGCTCGCGCGTTGGAGAAACCCCGAAATCGCAGGTTGCCTCTGACAAACTTAAAGGTGGCGTCGCTGACGAAAGGCGGCTTTGTAAGTGGGAGATCCCCCTTGTGGCTGTGCACTAGCGTGTGGCGCCAGAACCACGTGATCCTGTTCCGGGCGCTACCTCTCGTGCATCTCGGCTTCGGGAATCTGGGAAACGTCAGAGCAGAGTGGTTTCCCGTTGTTTGAGAGCATTGATTGCCCACCATGGCCATTACGCCGACCCAATTTGCCAAGAAGACGGCGCAGTGTGAGACGACTTGCTTCCGGCTATATTTCTGACCTTGCTGATGCCCTCCATAGCTGCCAATTGGGCGGACGCGAAGCGTCGAGTCCTGTCCTCCTACCGAGAATGGCTCCGAGCTGTACGTTTGACGAACCCCGACATGGTCCCTACGGCTCCGGGAAGGCTATGAGCCTTACTTGGAGGCCCATTGAGGCCGGGTTCGAGTCCTCACTCATAGATCTGGTTAACCAGCGAGAACTAGGCCCCCGAAGTCCAGACCATGTACAACATGCCCATGCCCGTCTCTACGATCCGAACCCGAATGCGACAAGAGTTTGAGCGACACCGATTTGCGAACAAGCTGTCCGTCGTGGACGTTCTTCTGTTCAAGTCTCACGCCGAGTACCAGGTGCGGACGATCCCTACGACCAGGAGCGGGTTGGGGATGATGAGAGGGGTTGCCTTTGCTAACCCCACGATTGTAGGAGACCATGAATTTCTGGAAGCAGACCAACCACGTCATGTCCTACTTCAAGGAGGAGAACTTCCGAGGCGACAAGAGACTACCGTCAAGCTTCATGACTGGTTTCCTGGAGGTGAGCCATCGTTCAGTTCACCCTATGTCGAGACGGAGCTAACAAAGACACAGGGTCGCAACTAAAGTTAACGGCAGTGATTGCTCGTGTATATAACTTATTAGAAGGAATTCATCAAAACGCCTCTATGTCCATCGTGCTCCTTGTGAATGCAATTGCCTTTTTTTAAAAACCCCTACAGTGCCCGTTCCAGGTTTACCGGTCAATTCCTTGCTCGGCGTTGTAGGCCTGCCTCTTGGTCCAGAACTCGTCGGCAACAACGTCGCAGACGTCCTGAAGATCAGTCAATCCCTTCTTGAGAGCATCCACCGCCGTGCCACCTGGTGAAATAGTTAGCATGGTGATTGGTCATTGTAACTAGATACCGTATGAACGTACTGTAGGTCTGGATGCGGATGTTCATCTTGGGCTCTGAGGGGTGAGGAATCGAGTAGGCGCAGAACTCGACATCAGGGCTGAAACATGTTAGCCACGAGTACAAAGCGACGCTTCTGGCAATACATACTTCTTCATGACGATATATCTCAGAGCGTTTCCAAGAGTGTGACCCTCGTCAACGAATTCAAAAGAGGCGGCAGTGTCTGTTGAGCCAGGCAGCTGAATGGCTTGTCAGTAAAACTCATGAATGAAGAATAATCCAAATAAACTTACAATTCTCACTCGCTGGGGCTCAACCTCCTCTTCCTCCTCTTCTTCCTCCTCCTCCTCTACGTCCTCACTAGGCTGCGCAGAGGCTGGGGCATCCTCCATATTGGTGTCCTCAGCCTGGGGCTGTTCTTCCTTCTTGGTACGAGCAGGCATGTTTATGTATGGGAATAATTCAAGTAAAGTGTAAAATAGGGTGGTTCTCTTGTAGAGTCTTGTTGCAAGGTTGACTTTTTTCCTTTTCACTGGAGTATCAGAGGTCGGAGCCTTCAATCGCAATGCCACTGAAGGAAAATTTTGGCGGGGCCCGAAAAGGCTGACCAGTGGGCGGAGGGGTCCAATCGCATTTGATGAGGCTGTGCTGTGGCGCCTCCACTCTCACTGACAAGGCTGAGTGGCCGAGTGTGGCGTGCAAGAGCTATCAGAGGCAACCGGACAACCTACACGGATGGCAAACTACTTGGATCGGTACCTGTCAAGAAAACATCCTGACTGCCAATCCCTGTCTTTGATTTCTTGCATATTTCAAGAAGCAAACATATATCCATTTCGATTTCGCTCACATCTCTGATGACCATCAGGCTCGCAGCGTGGATGCCTCATGCGGCGACACCGGCGTCGATACTACGTCGGTTTGTCTTAACCTACCATGTTTGACGAGTGATATAATAGGAAACCTGCATGACAATTTGTCAATGCTATGATTTTTGCTCCTAATCCTGCGTGCCATTGGTAAACCAACATGTCAAGAAACCGATGTGTTTTCCGGGAGTACCGACAAACGTACATATCAGAGTCCTCACGAGTGCCCGCAATGCAGGGTGGTTCCCGGTTTTCGGTGCTCTTGGCCTGAAGCTCATGATATCAATATAGGGTGAATTAATTTATTTGATTAGAAAGGGCTTGTCAATCATGGTACGACAGCTGTGGTGGGATTGTTGGCGCAGCACATCTGCCAAATATAGTTCACCCAAGAACCCAAGACACGCACACGTCTTGTTGCACAGCTCTGCACAAGACGACCAAGCTAGCGTTGGAGGCAGCCTGAATGGAAGGGTGCACGATGAAGTGGTCAGCTACACGCAACGGATGATAGTGTGGCTCATCCAATACCGTGAAGCAGATATTGCCCCAGACAGTGGCAGTCGTCTCAAGTCAATATCACTCTCTTGCATAGAATCTGCCCCTGGGGAAAATGACTGAGAGGTCCGATGATTCCGACCATGGTTCATGCCTTGGAATGTCACCATATTCTCCCAGGATATTCCAAGTTGTCCACGAGGCAAAGTTTGAAGATTTGGCATATAGACAAGGATGCCCCTCATGTCTCGGGCGTCATGGAGGGGCCTTCGGATGAGCCAACAGAGAAATGTGCACAAAACGGCAAGAGTTGCGGCCTATACTGACTGCTCGGACAAGGAGAAGCCGAGCCAAACTTTGGCCTCTTATGACGACAAACCACATCCAATTTATCAAGCAACATAACATGACCAGCAAATGTGTATCACAACCACAAACCTCACCTGGATCAGCTGGATATCGATTCAATGCAACGGCTAGCCACATCAGGACTCAGCACGGACCAGCCATGATTCGCGTTTGAGGGTTTGGGAGGGTAGCAATGGAAGACCAATCAGAGACCAAGGCCCGTGGGTATGAAACATGGCAAACGACGGCGCCCAGAAAGGGTGGTTGCAGAAACGAATTGGGCACTTGTGCTGGGGGCCCCCGGGGATTGTGCTGCTGTTGCAGCGAGAGGTGTGGTGTCAGTGCATGTGGAGGAAACCCTCCACAAGCTCATAACCTGAGACGCCGTCTCAGGTGAGGTGAAGCACAACAATGTGAAAGCCCTACAGAGCATGTCCGCAATCCGCAACAATTGTCCCTGGTCCGAAGGGTGAAGCGGAGGCGAGAGTCGGAAGAGAATCCGGGTATTCACCTCCTCAACCACGCCGACCCTCGTCAGAACCATCAAATCGCCCGTGGCAAGCAGCTTTGAACCAAAACAAGCCCGGGGAGAAGCCACCTGAAAGCGATGGCGGCGGGAGATGGACGGCGCCATTCTTCATTTCGCAAGGCCCACGGCGTCGAGATTTGGTTGGTTAAGCAGCGACGGCGCTGAAAATAAAGGCATGCAGCATGTCTAGTCACCCACCCGGTTTCTGCTGTAGAGAATTCGGAGCCTTTCATCTGGATGGATATCGACCTGGTAAAAATACTCGGAGAAAGGAGGTTTGGGGGCCTCAGCGCGCTCGCAAGGTTCACGCCCAGATTCTGCGCTGGTCGAACCATCCTAAAAGGGATCACCACCATTGAGCGGGAATTCCATTTCGTTTGCTGCTCAGCAGAATGCTGCGGTACGTACTGTGCACGGCACGCATGTATGGACATGTGGCAGACCTGAAAAGAGTGGACGCAGTAGAAATTAATCCTGCAGCGAATGGTTGGCTAGAAGCGGTGGTGAATATGGATGATGGGTGCAGGCCCGATCAGAGCCAGGGGCCAGTTGACAGGGGTTGCTGAGGACGGAACTGGGGCGCTGTCAATGCCGGTCAAGAGAAGATCGTCAACATGAGACTTGTCATCCATCAGCATGACTGAGGCAGAGCCCTAACTAAATACCTCGACAATTATTAGCTGCCTCGAAAGAACGAGGAAAGAAACGACTCGAGTCTGGAAAAGTGTATGAAATCATTGTTAGGTTTCGTCATCAACATGAGCTTTGGAATAATGAATATGCGCTTGACGCATCACAATAATATTCTCATTAATAGGGAATGCATATCACTGTCTTCCGCGTGCCCGAGCCTCTGGGGTTGTCGATATTGTCAGTTGGTGAGAAGCATGAAAGATGGATGGGCAGTGGAACAGCAGATCGTATACGATTTTGTGAGGGGGAGTGAGCCGAGTGAAGATCTTGATCTGGATGGAGAACAGGCTGAGGCAGACATAAGACGACTTGCAACGCACTAAGGCAGCTATCGTTCGTAGAAGAGCAATAGTGCAAGCAGATGCTGTGAGAACCCGGGGCGATTTGCCTATCAATTGCAGGCCTTCTCTGTAGATGTTGCAACTATTGACTTGTAAGCGGGGATCTCGGGGGCAGAGGGGCGAAATTGTCAGTGGTGGCAGATGAAAGCTTGCGACGACAAAGACGACGACCGAGACGATGAATGAATGAGGAGAAGGTAGATCGTACGAGGCGAGAAACAGTCCTTCATTTCTGATTCTCACCGTTTCGCCCTTTGCCTCCACAGCCTTGATCCCTCGTGATAGCAACTCCTTCTTGTAACGTTTGCCTAGTCTGGAGTTGTTGCTGTGTCTGGCAGGTCTTTGCTGGAAGAATTTGTGGCCGAAGATCGTCAGGGACCCAAGCCCGTTTTGGGATCCAGCGTGTTTGAGAATGCGTATGAGGGGCAGGGAAGTTTCAGCATGTGGGAGTGGCAATCCAGGCATGGATGGGAAGTGGGAAAGGGAGTGAACGAGCCGAGATAGTGGGGAGACGACAGGACGTGTCAGTGGAAGTGGGTTTTGGGAGGCGAACCGGCCGTGAGTGGGAAGTAGCGGGGGGTGGTTAATAGCCACGAGGCAGCCCAAGATTAGCTCGGGATGAGATTGCATTGAGATGGACTTGCGTGCGAATTGTATTGTCGTGTCTGTAGGAGAGTTTGAGTTGGGTCGAGACGTGTAATATGCGGGTGGGATTCGAGATGTTCTACTGCAGGACCGTACCTGCCTAGGTAGTGTAGTTGAAGCCCGTAAGGCGCACCTTCCTTGCTGTATCTTAGATGGAGGCATTCATGCAACTCTTGGTCCCGTGATTCTAGCAGCTCCTCTTTCACTCGCACCTAACACGGGATTTCCTCATCTTACATGCATTCGCTAACAAGTGAGGTGCTTTTGCAGTGCCTATGGAACCCTCATGCCCAGAAGGATACGCATGGCCCGACGTTCAAGAGCCCGAGGTCTTGAATCAACAGCTCGCAGCTAATCGTCCGGTCCCTGCCTCCCCCTTTCCCTCCCCTTTACCTCGTGTCTGTACGGATGAGCTCTCACCATTGGATGTCTGCATTCAGAGCCGATGCTGCTGCGCCGTGGATCGCTGACGAAACAGGTTCCATCGCTCAGAGACGGCCGACTCACCATCCATCTCGACTCACCAACCATGGACCTTGAGACCGCTAGCGTACCAGCGCCACGGGGTGCACTAGCGACGAGCATCCAGCAGGAGTCCTCACCTCTGACCCTCACGCTGACACTGGCTGTTACAGGTTATGGAGGGCTGCCTGACAGGAATGGGATGGGATGGATTCCAGATTCTACCGAGCCCATCCCATGTCCCTCAGACCACCCCTCCGTCCCGGTAACCGAGCGACTGGCTTCCAGTTGCGACTGAGAACTGGAACCACAACAGCCGGGTTGTGTAACAACTCACAGCACCTCGTCTTGATCAGTGATCTGAGACTCAGGACTGCCATATAACGCTGGCTGGTTCACATAGTAGAGAGATTTTCCTAATCTGCATGTCTGAGATGGACACCGCAACTATCCAAGACTGAGGAGCGGTCAGCTTCAGATGGGAACATGACACAGGGGCCGTCAAGTCAGTGCAAGTGTTGTCTGGTCTGGTCTGGGGCCGCGGACTGAACCGCGGTATGTTGATCCCATCTCCAACAGCATCTATGTAGGCATCTGCAAGTGGGCGATGGTTGGACATACATACAGGCCGAGGACGCAAGAAAAGGCGCCCGTACCGCAACCGCACAGCGGGCACAGCGCATCAACGGCGGCCGATGGAGAGAGAATGCAGTGCTCTTGGGCATGTGAGGTTGGCTGCCAACAGCGTGTACAGGGATAAAGGCCCAACCAGCAGCGGCAGGGGCCACGTTGGAGGGTTTGTTAGCATCAATGTCAAACCGCCAGCGACGGTGAGAGCGAGGCCGATGGCGACAAGGTCGACGACGAGTGGCCGACGGTTGGCTTGGGTCGCGTGCATCCAGCAGCAGGATTCAGGTGAGGAGGACCCTGGACCCTGGCTTGCCATGCCTCGTGTCGTTTCTTTGGGATGTTTGCCCGCCTGTCAATCGCCTATCCGTCCGATATGAATGGCCGTGGGCCGTCTGGTTCTGGCTTGATTTGTGCCTGTGCGGGACGACACTGGAGGAGTTGTGTGGGTAGGGACTTGAGGTGTCTGTCTGTGGCCTCTTGTGCCTGTGCCAATCGCTTGGACTGCTCTCGAGATGCTCATCCGGTCTGTGTCTTCACAATTGGTGTGATAGCCTCACCCCTCCCCATCTGGCTTCTGGGCTTGGAGCAACCAGGGGCGACCCCGGTCCTTCTCTATCCTCATCGATCCCATCCATGTCCCTTGGCTCGTCTGGCTGGGTCGGATCCATTGCTTCAAGACACGAACCGGGCGCCATGCCTTTGTGTCACTTTTCCCCGTGTCCCCTTTCATAAAATACATGGCACCAAATAAAACATCGCCAGGTACCCGACCGACCCCTCATCGTCAGCTGGCGATTTTCTGCCGTTATTCTGCGACTTTTTGTCTCGAGCCATCCTCCTCTCTGGACATTCTTTTTCTCTCCTTCTCTCCCGCATCTCATCCGAATTTCTACTCTCGCCGTCGCCAACCTCGCAACCGAGCTCGTCAAGTGCCTGCAACGCAACGCAACCAGACAGAGCCATCGATTGCCAGGTGCCTACTTTGTGACTGCTCACTGTCACTACTGCTACCGCCGACGCCAACGCCTTTCCGCTTCGTCACATTTGCTGTCGGCTGTGGGAATCTCTTCATTCGCTAATTCCGAGCCCGTGGCCCACGGTCTTGCATACCACGCTGTTGGTTGGGCGCTTGACTGCACTGCATTTGCGCTGCACTGCGCTGTACTTACCGGCCTCCTTGTTCCAACGGCGACAAGATCCAATACCAGGACATTGTCGACTGTCTTTCCCTCGCTTCACCACCTCTTTTCGCTATAATCCAGCAGTTCTAGTGGCCGTCCAGCGGAAGCACCCCGCGCACATCTTTTACCCAAAAGAACCAAGCGACCCTTCTTCGGCCGTTTGCCCGCTGCTTCCTACGCACCAACTGAACTGAGTTGGGCGAAACACGCCAAACGCGGGCCTGCCGAGCCAACAACCCACACCTGAAGTTCCATGTTAAAACAAGTCGCCAGTCGACCGACCGAACCACTCTGACGCCCCCTGGCTTTTCACTCCCTCGATCGATCAATCAATCAATCAATCGTCAGCAACCAGAGTCCGGACTAATAATCGTGTCTTTTTTGTGTTCCTTTTCTGCCGCCTCTTATCATCTTATTTTTAATTTCGATTTCTCGATCGTCCTCCTCTTTCCCGGAAAAGAGGAAAATTACCCAACCCAGCCTTCGACATTGCTCTGTCACATCTCGCACAGAGCTGAACCGCCCGGTTTGAGCTTGGACAACTAAAGGAGCCCCAGCCGTCGAGTCGAACCACCAACCAGACATCGCGGCCTTCCTTGCTGAGCTGAGCTACCTACTCTCGCCAGCCTCCCGGTTCTGGATATTGCTCCATCTTGTTCTACAACAACACACAAATCTCGTGCTGACTCGAGTCTGCCACGTCCACGATCGCTTCCATTCCTGTCTCGCGGCCCTCGCCGAACGATTCATTTTCCTCGCCAAGACAGGAAGCCTCCGACTCGCGAGACCCAGAAAAACCCAGCAGCTCGGCTCACTCTGGCTCGCTGACTGGCCCGACTGGCCTCTCGCCCTCCTTGCAGGTCTCCTCGCACCCTGCCAACTACGAACCACCTTTCACCAATTCCCACAGCCAGCCCTGCATCCGCTCCTTTCACTATGAGTGCAGCAATTGCAATGGCCCCCTCTCCCGCTCCTCACGAGAGGCCCTCATACTCTGAGCTGCCTCCTGCGCACACGTCGGTTTCAACCACCGCCATTTCTCCCTCTGCACAGCGGTCCGCCGCCGCCCCTTCAGCATCGAATGCGACAGCGCACTCATCCAACAGCAGCAGCCCCAAAGCTGCCGGCTCTGGTCCCAAGTCCTCGCCCCCCAGCGCGTAAGCCTCAATTACTCCCTGACCACCCGAAATTTCCCTCTTGCTGACACTGCCTGTCTCTCTAGCTCTCGATCTACCGGCGCGCCTCCCAAGATTGTCGTCAAGAAGGAGCCCGCCTCCCCCGGCATGACCAACACGCGACCCCGGCCGCGAAGACTCGATCTTTCAAAGAACACACTCAAATCGAACCAGCCCGCCTCTGCGCGGCCGATGACCGCCCGCGACGGCCTCGGTATCCAGGAAGTCGGTATTGCGTGTCTCTCTCCTGGCTTTGTCACCCAAGACCCCGTCATGAAGGAGCAGCTCCAGCGAAGTATGTCAGTTCGAGAGCAGCAGCGACACATTATCGAAGCGAGACTGCACCAACAGTCTGCCAAGGGTGACGGCTCCGACAAGGATCCCGTCTCCCAGTTCTCCGCCAAGACGCCTGGCATGTCGCGAAGAAACAAGGCCCCTCCAGGCCTCTCTATTGTTGCTCCCTCTCACGAGCAGTTCGCCAACGAGCGAGTTATCCAGTCGGCGCCTCTTGGCCACAGCTTCACTGGTCGACAGCATCCTGCTCCTATGACCCGACATATCGCCAACCAGCCCTCTAACCTGTCAAGCACCTCGCACATCCACCACGTCCCTGCTAACCAGACCAACAACCGTCTGCCACCCATCAGCGACGTCTTTGGCCAGGGCCTCTCAGCGCACCCCGACAATGCTCCTCAGTCCCTCTACCCTAGCGGCCCCAGCTCCCGTGGACCTCTAACGTCTCCTGGACACCCTCCTCTTCCCCAGGCCCCGACCCCCGGCCGTAGCCGCGAGTACAGATCTGCCGAGGAGGCTCAGCAAGACCTTGCCGGTGGCCGACCTGAACTTCTTCCCAAGCTGGTCCACTACGGCGGACACCAGCCCCCGACACCTCCCTCTCCCGCTCCTGGAAGCCGGCCTATTGAGGCCTCACGAAGTGCCAGCAAGCGACGGACCCGAGCCGAATATGAGGACGGCAGCCCTCCCCTAGGCCACGGACCTGCTCCCACTCGCCGTGGACCCTTTGGTGCCGGACGCGACAGCCCCGAAACTCAGCGACAGAAGAAGGAGGAGTTTATCCGATTATGTGAACGGGCTTGGGATCTATTCCACTCGTAAACCAGCATACGATATACCAATAATTCTTTACACATGGACGACCTCCGAGTATGTCTGGTCTGGGCTGATTCAACCTGCCAGCTGAGGCGTCATTCTTGTTCATTATTTCTACACTATTACTGCGCAGCTTGCCTCCGAGTTTTGTTCAAAAAGATATGAGAATCTGGCGGTCACGGAATTGGGGGGGGGGGGTGTATCGAGTGGGATGTAATGTCTTTGTTCTAACGACGCCATGAGGGTTTTGCGTCGATATCCTAAGGGGTCTCTGGAGGTCTGGGCCTATCTACCTGGACAGCCTCTATTCTCGGGCCGGCAACAAGTTGGTGGGGATTGGCTTGCTGGGCTGCCATGGTTGGCAGCAACTCTCTTGGACTTGGGTTTTATATTATTTCATCGAGCTCTCTGATCAGATGCTCGCAACATAGGGATCGAGGCAAAAAGGGACATTGAAGCGTTGCCTAGTGGGCTACGCAATGATCCTAAAGGGGGGGGGGTTGGTGTACTACTGGGCCTCAATACAAGGAGGACGGATGGGTTGATTACATCGTTTATTTGTATGCATAGTTACGTCGGTTCCGGCCCAAGATGGTCGCGGATAGTTTTGGTTTTTCTGGTTGTCGAGGCAGTTCAAGTCAACTGACCTCTGATAGGTATGGGAAGAGTTTTCAAGTATGGAGAAACTCGAATGGAATTTCACGCACCTGACAACAGGATATTTCAAACTCAATGTTCCCTTTGCTGGTGATTGTGATGATGCGTTGTCTTTGGTCTGTGCTCAACCACTCTTGTTACTCTATTGCGTAGTAGTCAAGAGTGAGATGCAACCTTGTGATCCAATGTAAAGTCCTTGATTAAATTGGTTAATGACAGAGCCCATTGAGTCTGTGCTCAAGGCTATTCTTTTTTCCTAAACCGTGTAGCCACCTTTTGTGGTCTCGGCGTGAGATGATGCTTAGTAGATGTGATGCCTTGTCTTTGATAGTACCTTGAACTCTCTTGTGATCGCCCATGATGATTCCTTTCATAGTATTCGCTATCCATTTTACCTGTTTGTTGAGATACCAATTAGACGGCTATCAATGCCTCTGACATATCCAAACTCCCTCCCTTATGTCAAAGAAGCCGCTCGCTCCCTTCCACTCACATAAACTTTCCACCACCGTCAAAGCGTTTCCTTGACCGTCTTTCAAAAATAAAAAATTTAAACTTTCCCCGACTGAAACGCAGCTGAAATTGATAGAAACCAGAAAACACCCAAGTCCAAAAAAAATGACTCGTCCCCCATGTTCCAGTCCCAGACCATCGGGTTCGCGGCTTGTGGGCGGGGCGCGTCGCGAATGAGTCTAGAACATATGTACTGCAGGACATAGTTACACACTCCTTTTCTTTTCTCTGTTCTTCTTCCCTGCTAGAGGCAAAGCTTAGGTCGTGACGGATTGGGAAGAGCTCGGTGAGTGATTTTGGACTTGGCTTGTTTCAGCGGCAGTCGAGAACTCAGATTCGGATATGGGGCACGTGGGTTGGTTACAGCGCTTCTCTCAAGTTCAAGGCCGACATCAACGTCTCGTCTATTTTGGTTTGCTTGAAGTCTTGGTTCGCGTCAAGAGATATATAAGACTATCTTGATACCCATAGAATATCTGCGCGAGATAAATCCTATTTCCTTAGTGTCCACACACAAACCACAACTTCACCCTTCTCCTTCTCTTCCTCTCATACCCATACTCATCCGCCCACGCTTGATCAATTCCTCGATCGATTCATAGCTTCCATCCTTGTTTGGGGCTCCTCCCAGAATCTGCAGCAAAGCCCTTCATCATGTCCATTGTGTGTGTGTTCTGTCCTGTTCTGCCTCGCTTTGGAAAATGAAAAAATGTATGTCTGTCAACATCGTGAACCTCCCTATATCGCCGGCCCGATTCCAGGGCATAGGTAACCAATTCCTGCCGCCCTTCTCCATCCTTTGAATAGGGGAAAGAGAGAGTAAGAAAAATCCCGTCCCGTCCCATCCCATCCCATCTGCCCACGCATGATACGCTCCAAAAACAAAAGACTTCATGTCTGTTTACACATGCGCCCAACACCAGTGCTCAGTATCAAATGACATAGGAAATAATCCAAACGATAGGTCATCGAATCGTCAGCCGGGAGGTGACGCCAGTGGACGTCACAGCCTACCCATTCCGCCTCGTGAGAGATTGGTATTCCATCTGGGTGCTCTCTTGAATAACAAAAGGCACGTGTGTTGATAAACCCCTTGGCCAAGCTATTGTGTCGTGGCTTTAGCTCTAGGATCATCAACACAAACTATCCCCTTACAGACCCTCCTCGCCAGCCTTGCAGAGCTTGATCTCGCGAACCCATTCTGACTTAAGGACCTGGGCGGCTGTCAAGCGGCGAGTCGGGTGGGGGTCAAGAACCGAGTAGATGACATTACGACAACGAGCCTAGGGCCCATGTTAGCAGACTCCTTCATTACAACGCAGCACCCATAAACTTACCCGATGAAGGGACTCGATAGGGCCGTAACCCTCTTCATCTCGGCGACCTTCAAGATAGCGGGCATAGAATTCGTCGTCATCCTTCTTGGCAAGTCGCCAGAGGTGACGACCAGTGCGCATTGCCATGTAAATAACACCGCAAGCCCACACGTCAACTGCTCGGGCATCAAACTCCTTGTCTGTGTACTCTTCGGGGGCAATATAAGGAGCCGAGCCGCAAAGGCCAGAAACCATGTGCGCATCCGTCTCCCACGCCATGCGGAAGCATTCTCCGTTACCGAAATCAGTAATCTTGAGAGCACCACGCGTCGTCAGGAGGAGGTTTTCTGGCTTGAGGTCACGGTGCGCTACACCCATCTCGTGCAGGTATTCAACACCTCGCATCATTTGCTTGAAAAAGCAGTCGGCCTCTTGCACCTCGAGCTTGCCACTCGATAGGACAAGGGTGTACAGGTCACCTCCGGCACAGAACTCCATGACTTCGCAGTAATCTCCCTTGGCATCCTTGAGGAGATCCAGGGTGTGAATAACGTTGGGGTGGCGGAGCGATGATGAGATGCAGAACTCGGCCGTCAGTCGCTTGCTATACTTCTTTTCGGTTTCTTCGGGTCTCCGTCGAAATTCCTTGACAGCAAAGAGCTTCTCGCCACTGCCACCGACCTTCTTGTGGGAAATCCGAACAATGCCGAAAGCCCCACGTCCGACAACCTCTTGACATTTTCCGTACTTTTCAACCAGGGTTGTTGTTGCGTTGGGCCCGCCCTTTTTGTCACCGGCCTCTTCTTTCTCCTGTTGTAGAGTGTCCACCCAATTTGAGACGAGGGAAAGGTCGTGATCGGGAGCGTCTTGCTTTTTGCGAAGAAACGTTCTCCACATGTCTGTCAACTTCTCCTGGCGTCTACTAGACCTGAGGTGATGCTCATGCCCTCCTTGGAACTCGGTGTCGAGAACGAATCGTTGAAGTTGTTCCTTGCTACTTGAGGGCTTGGTTGTTTTTGGTGTCGACGTCGGCTTTTCGGTTGACTTGGTCGTAGACTTCTCAGCACCCTTCTCGGCGGACGAGGTCTTTCCAGCGGGGGTTGAGGTGCCATTCGTTGATGAAGCCCGCGGACGGTTAGGAAGATCGACCGAGGAGGGGGCGGGGGTTGGAACTCGAGAAGGGTCCTTGGACGAGAACATGCGGGTGAGACGATTCTTGACTGATGACTTGTCCGGGGGCTTCAAATGAGTGTCGCTAGGAGTGCCATTAGGGCCAGTGCCGTTTTGCGGTGTCAAACCGGGAGATTTCTTGACGCCATCCTGTGACTTAATGGACGAGGGTTTCGAGCTCGATGCGGAGGGCGGCTTAGAGGAACCTGGGAGGTTTGGCATTTTCGTAAGAGGTGAAAGAGAAGAGCAAGTGTGTCTCGGGTGTCGAGAAAGCGACTGGCGCGGAGAGAGTAAGCGGTGCGGTGATTGTAGGATATGCGGCGTCTCGGTGCAACACCAGTGTGAGGCACAAGCACAAGCGCAGCGCGGACAGGCGCAAGCACGACTCGAGTAGTGTCGCGCAACGGATCAGCCTACAGACGACGGGCTATGCCGGGCGTACGTGCGACGATAAGCCAGGTAAGAAATGCGGTACCGAGGAGAAAAGTGCTGGAGGGGGAGGGGGAAAAAGAAGTCGAGTCCAAGAAGATCAAAAACAGGACAGGGCGGATCTGTGAGCTGTTTCTGGATCTTGGCGGGAAGTGGAGATGAGGCGAAGCAAAGCAAGGCGAGGAGGCGAGCGTCGATGACAGCAGGAGCTGGAGAAGTAAGGCAGCGCCTGTCTGTACAGAGGTGGAGGAGGTGACGGGCTGGTGGATAGCCCGTAAGTGAGTGGCGGCTGTTGGTGGGATGGACGGTGAACCAAAACCAAAACCCGAGGCAAAGGCGGACAAGACGTCGCAGGAAACCCGGAAGGTATTTGATGAATGGTATCGGCGTACAGCCTACAGTCGTGCGTTCCTCTCTGGGCCGCCAGACCTCGGAAAAGCAACCAAAGGCGAGTTTGCTGAGACCCTCGCTGCCTCTCTTGGCTGATGATGATGAATGCCAAGAAAAGGAACCAAATGCAAGTTGCGGATGTCGGCTTGCAGGGACCGCGCGATGCGAAGATGGCGAGCAACCCGTCCAACGAAACCCCAAGAAATCCGAGTCGAGGGCGGTAGGTAGGTGAAGAGACACGCTCAGTGGCGCTGGAGAGGGACGCCTTACAGGCGTTGCTGGGCTCAGGCGCCCGTAGCTTGGGGCGGGAAACTCTGCTCGTACCACAGAACAAAGATGGGGCGATCTGCTTTGCTGTGAACGCGCCAGAAAACCGCAAGGGTTTCGGTGGATGGGAGGAGGAGGACGGCGAGAAGAAAAAAGCAGAGGAGAGAGAGCGCAATAAGTGAAGATGGAGGTGAGGTGAGGCCAAGTAAGGTGAAGTAAAAGAGAAAAACAGGACGCGGGAATTTAAGAAGAGGGCACGGGGGGAAAGGGTGTGAATAAGGGCTTGGGAAGTATAAGGTAAGAAAGAGCCAGGCCAGAGCAAAGAAAGCTAAGCAGGAAAGCAATAGGCGTGTACGGATGTAGGTAAGGTAAGGTAGGCAAGCGGTACGCAGGCACGGGAGTGAGGTACTTGGCAGACCGCGATAATTAAGGTCAATTCGTATGTAGCCAAGGTCGCTACCTGCGAGCTACTGTATTACACCTCAACATGGAGCGAAATGAGAAATGGAGCGCAAGAAATGGGCCAGAGTACGAGGACTGAGGGCGAGGGCGAGGGCGAAGCGGGCGGGTACAGTAACGCAGGTAGGGTCGATGTGGGGTCCATCCGGTAAAGTACAGTAGGTACAGTACAGTCAGGTACAGCGTCTCTTCGGCCTGTGTTCCATCCATGAATGGGCGGGATGGATGGATGCCAGTTTGTGGGATGGATGATTTTTCAATAATTAGTACCTTATTACGGAGTACGGAGTAGCAAATCATGTTGCCATGGATCCAATCGAGGCATATGCCGACTTGGCTCGGCTCCATGACCCTCCAAGTTTTTCCTTGTTGCTTACTATTTATCATTCAATTGTTTCGTGACTCTTGTCCATCTTGCCTCGCCTCAGGTTCTATGACCCTCTCGAATCTTTGTTGGGGGCTCCCTGGCCTGTCTGGCTGGCGGGCGGCTTCGGCCTGGAGGAACAAAGCCTTTTTAATGTCTGTCTGTCGGTGGCTCGCTCTCCTTTTGACCATGGACTCCGCAGCAAGCAGCAGGGAGGTCCAGAGGCTGCATTGGCGGTGGTCATCAGGACAGCTGCTGATGCTTTGATCACCCAAGCCGCCGTTTCGAATATCTCCCTGGCCGCTCAATTATTTCCGACTCGTAACTTTGGATTCAAGGGGTGGGTTTGACCGTCTCTCTGTGCCGTGCTGTGCTGTGCGAGCCCTGGTACAGCACAGAACCCGCCTGGCCTGGTCTGGCCTGGCCCTGCCCTCGCAAAACGCCGTCATGAAAAGGAGGGGCCACCAAATATGCAGTGGGCGACCATGGGACTCATGATGTACATACGAGCCATGATGTCCAGGTACCAGAATGGGAATTCCCTCCCAAGTACAGCACCGCTCTGCATGGTGGGAAGACCCGCCCTGCAAGGTCTCCTCTGGGCTGGCCAAGACGGCACGGTACCTCAGCCCGGGAAACGCCAAGCACCATCTGTCGTCAAATATGGGTACAAACGAGGTAGGTTTTGGTATGGGGTACCATTTAGTACCTGCAATAACCCTCATCTGTTTTCAAAATCCGAAAAAAAGAATACCTAGCCACGGTCCTCAAGAACCGGCCAAGCTTTGCGGCGAAGAAGCCCCTGCAAGGAAGAACGTGCTTTTTTTTTCTTCCTCGTCCTCCCGGGTCGGGTCCGTCGCCCACGAAGCCGAGCCTCCATCTCTTTCTTGACTTTGCTACTCTCCCCTCTCCTCCTTTACTTTTCGTAGGCTGCCAAGCACTACCCGAACTGCCCGGGTTCAAAGACGATCAAAAATCAAAGGCGGTGACGTAGAGAGGGCGAACAAAGCCGGAAAACCGAGGGAGCACCTGATTGTATGACGGCAGATCTGTAAGAACCGGCAATCAGCGATCCGGTCCCTGCAAAACGGGGTGCGACGAGACAGGCTGGCAGACACAAAATCGAAGCACCTCGACATTTCAGTATCCTGTACCGGACAAGCCATACGATGCGATGCGGTGACTCTTTCGGTATGGCAACCCAAGGCTGTGCAGAGGCGAGGCCCCAGCGAAAACCGTCCGCCCAGCCGCGCGGTACTCGCACAAAGTAATATAATATGACGACGAGGCGGAGGTGAAGGGTTTGTTGATCAGGGCCCATCCATGATCCATTCCTCTTAATCAAAAGGTGAAGCGACCCGGAATAGTTACCGTGCTTCTTCGACTCGGTACCAACTTATTAGACGTTGGCACTGGAAGCCCGCACAGAGACGACGATGCAGCGGCTGATGCGGTGCTCTGTGGGTACCCTCGGCGTTCGACTGCTCCGTCTCCAAATCTTTCGGGGCGCCTCGGATGTGACTATAACAACCTTGGAAGTCTAGGCAGGCCCAAGACAGGTCGAACTGAGAGTCTGGAGCGTCGAGACCGATTCGTAGGCAAAGACGACCAGGGGACAAGAGAAAAAACCGCAGAAGATTCGAGCAACCCATTGCTTCGAGGGACTGGGTGCTGACATTGTGGCCGCTTACCATTAGAGCCTCGAATTGCTCTTCTGTGAGGTGAGTGTTGAATTGCCGTTTACCTGGACCGTGAGATGGCTGGGTCGCCCTGCACGATGGGTGTGAATGCAGTGGCGGTTTGTGAAAATCGCTTCGTCCTGTCCGTCCAGGGACTTCTGCCCACACTCGCGCAAGACATGGGATGGGCCCCGACCTACCGTTCTCGGAAAGCTGTCGCTACCCGCTGCCCACTGACATGTGCTATCATTTCGCTGACCAAGCTGTGTGTTTTGTGTTTCCAGATGGATTGATGAGCCTCGCAGGTTTGATATACCAGCGCAGATCTAAGCCTCTCTTTGTCAGCCGTCTTATCTTTCATGTCACTGTTGCGCAAACCTCTTCCCTTTCTGACACGAGAATCTGGCCCATTTCCGCAGCTGGGCAGGCTGGTTTTTGTGCTTGATGATGAAATCCACCTGAGCGAGTCGTCCATCCTTGGACCTTGTGCGGACCCCAACTCCACCCATAGAAAGCGCCAAGAAAATGGCGCATAGGTAGGTCAGTGCTTGACCACCAGATGGACATGAACAACAGAGATCCGGCTAGACAGGGATGCCAAAAATGTGGGGAGCGGCGCGGAGGGGCTGCCAAAGGTGCTTTGCTTTGGGGTCACCGAATTGTCAGTCGTTGAGAGGGTGATCCTAGAAGAGTTCAAGTCAGGCATTGCTCACCAACATCATGAACATACAGAGGGAAATGACTGATCTGGGTCAGTTCAAGGACTTCTGGGTGTCGAATTGTTGGTGGCATTGCTAGGGCTGCCAAGACATGAGCCGAGGTCTAAGTGATGGAAGCTGCAGTCCAATATGCGCGAGATCTGCAGCAGTCGAATCTCACGCAGCCTCTATTCAATGCCGTTCGCCCAGAGCGCTCAAGACCTTGTGCGCCGTGCTGCCCCAGCCGCTGAAGGCGCAGAGTGCATCCATCCATCCATCATGGATGACTCCGCTACCTGCCCTGCCCTGCCCTGCCCTGGGCATGGACCTGAAGAATGGCGAGGGTGCTGGGCGCTGGGCGCTTGACGCTTGACGCCCAGACTCATTCTTGTCGGTTATTGGCTGGCCTTACAACATTGGCATTTTCTTGATGAACCCTGTGTAAGCATTGACCTGCTCATCTGCGAATCTTGGTCGAATACCTGGCGGGTGGACCAGAATCTACGATCCTCAAAGATGTGGTGTAGATTCGTTAAGAGTCGAGTCGCGATGGTCAAAGATATTATTTTGCTTCCATGCATTTTGTTGTTTTGGTGTCGGACCTGCCTCCACTTGAAGGAGGTACCTGCCTGGGCATGGGACTCGGCTTCGCTACTGCCTGGATTGTTACAGCCAACATGCTGCGCTCACCGACTAAACTGACTTCAAGGTTGCTTACCTCCCTCTACATTATCTTGCAACACTCTGCTCTGCTGGTCTGCAGCAAAGCCATCATCCACTAGCCATTGCTTCAATGCCTCCACTCTTGCTCTTCTGCCAGCCTCTTCCCTACACGACGCGTCCACTCTCGCCCGCTGAAGCCGGTTCTACATTTCGACTATATCGGCCCAGAAGTGGGAGGACCCCAGCGAGAGGCACCAAGACGTTGGTTCTTCC